GGCAAGAGACTTCGCTGTTTGGGTTCCCATATTCTTGTGCTTCCCCTTTTCCCTGTTTTCCATCTGCCACCTCTGGCTGCAGTTGGTGGGTCTGTGCCTCGGGGCAGGCAGGGCGTTCCTGCAGCAGGAGGTACTGGCTAGCTGTGTCCAGTCAGCAGCCTGGTGGATAGTAGGAACCATGCATCCCAAACACTGCATCATGAGCACTCTGAACCCTTCTTCAGTTCTGATACTTGAAAGAGTTGCTGCTATGAATACCTGGCAACATGGTCCTACCATGTACCTACCATCATCCCATCTCTAATAACCTAAGTCAGTCAAGGTGTCTTGTTAGGTATCCATTCATGCAGCTGTAGCTACAGTCCATCTGGCTTTCTTGTTGGCATTATTTGACAACTATTCTGTGCTAGCTAGTACTGATGCCAGGCTCTGGACTCATGGCTGTGTTCACTTCTGTCACTGAGGAAGGCAGTGTGAGCATAGCAAACGATTCATCTTTACCAGACTTCAGTCCACACCAGCAGCATGGTGTGGGCAGAATGTCTTCTGTAAAGCCATTGCTCAAGCAATTTTAGTAACTCACATAAAATCAGTACTTTGTTCCACCACAGAGGCTCAGTGTGCTCAGTCCTAGTGCATGTACTACCTATACTAAGAGAATTGACCAAGTGTCTGATCAGCAACTTTGTCTTCAGCTTTTTCAAACACAGCTTCCCCCTTCCCAAAAAAAACCAGTCACTCAGAACTTCTCTGCCCCTTGTTTGTCCAAATTAATTCATCTTTGTTAAAGCCACCATGAACTGCAGCTCCTGACCTCAGTCATCCACGTATAAAGGAGCATTTTGTTGTGAGAAGGCAGATGATTACTCAGGATACCAGTACTACTTGCGCTGTCAATGAGTCAACTAATGCCCATTCTGTGTTCTTTTTCAGAAACCCTTCCTGTACAAGACTACAATGTGGGAAAATCTGTGATGTCCCAGGATAGGTCAAAAAAACCTAAATAATTTATCATCTATCCAGAATAAAAAGGAATAAAATACAGTGGGCCTGCTTCAGGTCATACACTGTAACTTTGATACAGAGTTTGAACTCAGAGAGAAAGAAGAAACTAATCAGTAGTAGTACCCAGTGGAGGGTGGGAAGAAGGAGCAAGTCAGGTGAAGCAAGAAAGCAAAGACCGAAAGGATCTGCAGTAGCCTTTATATCCATATGGCATTTAAAGCAAGCCAAGGGTGCAGAGAGTAGTTCTTTAGACTCCAGAGGCAACCTGTGAAGAGCCACCACCAGCTTGTGCTCAGCATGAACTATGTCTCCTACTACATTCCTGGGACACACAGGACAGAGAATGGGAGTTCTGCAGATATACCTATTCCTATAACCTGTAAATCAGTTTCTGTTTCACTTGTTATTTCTGTAAGCTGCCCTGGATATATGTTTGTTGTTTGTTTTTGTTTTTTTATAAAGTAATTTACAACTTGTATCTCTTGTGTTAATATCCTGTCACAAATAATTCTAAGGTATGCTGATAACACCGTTGGCCATTCCTTCATCTCTTGATGGGAATCCCTTCTAAGGCATATCTTAAAATGTGAGTAGCATACTGCTACCAGGAAATGGTATGTAACAGCACCCCGGTTTGATGGTTAATTCTGCTTTTTTTAAGCTCAAGCATTACTACTCCCAAAACTAAAGGGATAAAAAACGTATGGAACAGGTATTTCTTGTTTGAGACATGACACAGAAATCCGTGTATCTCCAGATGGAGGCAGCATTGCGTCACAGCTTTGTATTGTAGCTCTGCAGGCCATTGTCTGCCCTGCTGCATGTGAGTTGCAAGATGTGTTTCCTCACTGGACTTTTCCTCGAACATCTCACACAAAAATAGTGTGCCAAATGCAGCGGTGAGCTTTGCTGAGTGGACAGTCATCACCTGTCATCAGGCACCTTTACCTTGCCTTAAAAGCCTCCTGAATGCATGATCCACTCCTGCTCTGCACCTACAAAGTCCATCACTGAAGCACCATCCCTCCAGCCTGATGTCACAGCTTTCTGACCAGGGGAGCAGCAGATCTTGAGGCTCAGAGACAATCCCTGTGGGCCTGGAAAAGCCTCCCTCCCCTTTGTGTCTCTGCTCTGAGAAGTCTGGATTTTAATGCATCCTGGTGCTGGGGATTATGCCTGGCCTACTTTCATATGTGCGCTTCCAGAGTGGCCGTGACAGCCTCCCTGGGCTTGTATTGCTGAGGTGGTGAAGCTGTTCACAACGACCCTACCTGGGGGCTCAGCATGGGTCCCAGTGGAAGCTCTTGTGTGTGAGGGAGCACAGCCGCTCGCCTGGGCAGGGGGTCTCTGCTGTTTGCTGCTCTCCTACCTCAGCAGAGCCTGTCCCCACTGTGCGAAGCGCATCATGGCCTCCTTGTGCTCCCCCCGCCAAGCTCAGGCCGATTCCCTGGGAAGTGCGGTGCCAGGTGCACACAGGGGATCCCGAGTGAGCCCTGTCTTTCCCTAAGGCTTTGTGTTCACTCTGCATAACCTGAAAGTGCTTCTCTCTGGAACACAAAATGGGTGTGCAGGGTTGCAGCAGCGGAGGTCATGTTTCACGTTTCAGAGGGGATTCTAGTAACCAGCCTCTGTTTTGTCTTTCCACCTGCAGCTCTAGGAGCAGGGTTTGGAAGCTCAGTTTTGCAAGGGCTGCATGGGGCAAGTGTTGGAACACTATAGACACCAGGTTAGTTCCTGCCATACCTAAAATGTAGATGCTGCACCCCAAAGGCTATGATCCTTGCTATCTAGCCTGGGCACCAGGTCTCCCTGTAGCACAGTTAGGCACTTTCACAGGCTGAAGAGCTGTCCTGAGGTAGATGGTTGGAAATACGGCTTCTAGGGATGGTGCAGGATGCCTGCTCTGCTCCCACTGCTCTGGGGTGTAAGTGCCTGACACAGAGCTGTACTAGATGGCTCCACACATGCAAGATGTATAGCACTTCTCCCACATTCCCGGGGGGAGCTGGAAAGCTGTTCCACGCCTCCCACTGCTGCCTGCTTCCAGGAGCTGTGACAGAAACCGTGAGATAGATAGCAAAAGAGCAGCACAAGTGAAACACTCGCCTTGGATCCTGGGCAGGGCTGGGAAAGCCAGGGAAGCATGGTGATGGAAGTGCTCTGTACAGCTCCTGCTTCTGCTGCTGGGCCGCCTGGCTGTGGTCGTGGCCTTCACGCACGTGTGAGCCTGTGTACTGCTTTAATTAATTCCTTTCATCAAGCGGCGGGTGTCCGGAAAGGCTTCCAGCCATGTCAGCAGCATACAGCAGGGAGTCAAGAAACCTGTTCATACAAAACATAGCCCCAGGTCAGGACGGCTGGGAGCTGTGCCTCCTTTGGGCTTGGGTACCAGGCTGGCTTGGCTCCCTGTACTCCCTCTGCACCCTTCTCTCCTGACCAGGGACCAGTAACGCTGCCAAGTGAGGGAAGGAGGTTCAGGGGAAGCAGTATGACAGGATGCCCGAGGGGCAGCCATAAGGTATGTGATTCTGCTTGCCCAGCTTCACCCTGGTCTGTCTGGGATGGGGCAGCTGCCTGTCAGGGGGCACCGTACACTGGGAGCCTGAACTGTGAGCATGGCTGCATCACTGTGTAAACCCCTGGTGTAGCTACACCTCAACTTACCTTGTCTGTTCTTATCCTCCTCGCTGGATGCTGTCAGTCATCCTCCTGAATGCTGTCAGTCACTCTCCCCAGCCCCCTTCCTTCTCCCTACAGCTCTGCAGTACTTTCTACTGCTGATTGTCCTCCTGGCACTTGGGCTGTTCATTCAAGCCTTTAGCCTTTTCTGGCTGCCATTGTGTCTGGGGAGGACTACAAGGCATGCTTTCTTGTAAATTACTCTCTTTATTGTGATCTGTAAATGTAAAGCAAGCTTGCCTGTTGTGCCAGACTTCAGAGTACCAAGAAATATTGGAGTCCCTGTGTTTCTTTCTAACTCTTCCAAGCTAAAAAAACTCCTGGGATAGTTTTTATGTTTCATGGTTGGCTAAAAATAGCTGTCACTCGCTGTCATTTATATTCCCTTCAGGAGACTCTTAAGAAAGGGAATTAAGTCATCAAACTGCAGTGGTGCATGATGTTTGTGACTGAAAGCTTTTGTGTGAACTTAAAACATCTTTGATTTCCATCTGTGCCGTCGACTAAGGTCAGCCTTGCTGGTTGGGAGGCAATGGGTCTATGCAGTAGGCAAAGGCTGTGCAACCCGCAGAGGTGAATTGCAAGGATGTGGGGTGCCAGGAAGATTACAGTGAGTGCTGTTCAATACTTAGACCCTTGTTTTTGAAAGCAGAGGGGTGGTGTGGGGCATTTGGTTTGGTACTTCACCACTGTAGCAAACATTTATGCTGATAAAGCTGTGAATGATGAAGTAGTTTTCCTGTCCTCAAATCAGCCACCTAAGAGACTGATAGCCTGTGGAGCAGCTTGGGTTTCTGGGAGAAGGGAGTGTAGGGGACATAGGAATTCTCCCTGCAGCCACAGCAGCTCTGCTGTATGTGTTTGCAGGCAGAAGACTGCACTGCTCTCCCCAGTCCCTCCCCAGTCAGTTCTCCCAATGCTGGAATGGCTTGTTCCAGGTGAGAGGTTTTTTTGGCTTCCTTTCTAACTGTACAAATTATTCAGCAGAATGGGAGTGTTAGAGGGAGCCTGACATGAAAAACGCACAGGCTCAGGCAGAGCTCATCTGTTGTTTTGACAGTCTTCAGGGTCACGTAAGGTTCTGCACCAGAATGCGAATTCCATGCTGTTAGAGGGGTTTTTGGTTTCTGATGGAGGTGAGACTGAAACCTGATGAAGCGAGTTATCAGCAACTCCACAGACGCTGCCACCATGGCAAGAAACAAGTGTCATTTTCCCCTCCTCAGTGTGTTCCCTGGCTCCTCGGTGAAGCTGGTATGTGCTGGCCTGCATTACTGCTGTCCCCTAAATCTCTTGTCATCCTTTCCTCCCTGCAGGTGAGCGACCGTTCCCCTGCACGTGGCCTGACTGCCTTAAGAAGTTCTCTCGCTCGGACGAGCTCACCCGGCACTACCGAACCCACACCGGTGAGAAGCAGTTTCGATGCCCCCTTTGCGAGAAGCGGTTCATGCGGAGCGACCACCTGACAAAGCACGCCCGCCGCCACACCGAGTTCCACCCCAGCATGATCAAGCGATCCAAAAAGTCCAGCTCCAGTAGCTCCTTGTGAAGGCAGGGCCAGCCCGGGGATGGGAGCAGAGTGGAGGACGCAGGCAGTGGCATCAGAGCATGAGCATCCGCTGCGGCGCCGGTCGCCCTTGCCATCTGAAAGCATATGTTGCTGACATTCAAAAAGTACTCCGTGCCCCTCGCCCCGTCCTCCATCTCCCCACCCTGCGCTGGGAACAGCGATCTGGAGCAAGTGGACTGCAGGGTGAGAGGAGGGAAGGGATGGCCAGCGGAGGAGGTGACCCATCTCCTCAATGTAAACGCTGATGCTGGTGTATATATGTCTGACTGGATGGTCTGGCCTGTGCCCCTGCAGTAGTGAGACCCCAAAGTCTTTGTGATTGCTGTGTCATGAACATGTTTTGTTGAACAGTGTAATGCTGCTTGTATTTAGAGTTTGTTGAGTAAAAACACTTTCCGAGTCACATAAATAACTCAGATAAAAGCTCCATAGCACATTGTAGAAGTGGGTTTACTTCTGTCTCAGAATGATCCTGCATTTTAAGAGACTGTTAAGAAAAAACGTTACATATGTTACTAATAGCATCTGAGATGATAAGATGAATTTATACTCAAGAAGGCCCATTAAAGTAAATGGGTCTTTTTAATTTTTCTTTGTATTAACTATACTTTTGAATATGAGCTGCACTTTTCCAGTAAAGACATCAAGAAGATACTTAAAGCAGAACCCTCCCCCCCACAACAGTTCAGTCATTTTCTGACCATGTGTGTATTTAGTTCTGCTATTCATTTATCTGGAAGAAGACAAGTCAGCCGAGATATGTGGCAGGGGTATGGGAGCAGAAGCACGTCTCTCCTTTGATCCTATACTTCTAATTTGTCAATAAATACAGTACTGTACTATAGACATGCCACTAACAGTGCTTTATTCTGCTGTGTTTTGTTTGGATGTATGACAGCAGTTACCATCTTTATAAACTGCTGCGCTTTTTTTGAAGGTTTTTTCTCTTCCTACGCTTGCCTTAAAGATTTACTCTCTTCATACCCTTGCCTAACTCCCATGGAGTCCTATGGGAGTTGTGTGTGTTTATGGAGAGAATAGACCTTTCCCTAAAAGCACTCTGCTAATGGAAACTCCTGGAATTGTTGTAAGGAGCACTTCTGGAGGGCTCCAGTATATCTTGATAGCTGTTTCTATAGAGTGTGGGTGAAAACCATTAGCTGACTGGAAATACAGCACGCAAGGTGTGTCATAACACTCCCTATGACATAAGCTTCTCTTGGGTAGCTGTGTCATGCGTGGCACGTCAGACACTGATAATGGCAGTATTACTTTTATTTTAAAGCTCTCTGTTGCTCCTTAAGGGGAGCAGAAAGGTCACTGAAGGAGAATTTTCAGCTGTGGTCATTTAGCTGATTGTTGCATTATTTTTTTTTATGTTGAAATCATTAACTGTAAGAGGTTATCAGTGGTTTTCTCTTTTTCCCTCCCCAGCTGCATAAAAGGGGGAGGAGACTTCTGTTTACACATTTTTTCCAGAAACATTCTTTTCCTGTTTGGTTTTTACCAAAGGGGAAGGGGAGGTGCAGCCCTACTATAGAGACTTGGGGCCAGATTCATCTCGTGAGTAATCACGTTTCCACTGCAGATGAATTTAGGTCATCTTGTAAAATTCTGTACATAAACAATCTTGCTAGTACACCTGCAACTACAGCATCCTACTGTTTTACCTGATAAAAAGCTTGCTTCTTAGAAACAAACATAAAAAAATGAACTCGGAGAGTAGAGTGTTTTCTTCTACTGTTGTATAAGGCTTTCGGCATTAGAAACCAGTTTGCATATAGTGTTTTTAATCTGTGTAGTTCATGATAAATTCCGTCTATGTGAAGAGAACTGCTTTTAAGGCATTGGGGATATTGAACAGTGTGTGGAGTAAAAAGGGATGTGTTTTCTTCAGTGAAAACTTCAGGAAACCAAGCACACTTTCTACCTCCGTTTCAGCTTTTTGAAACATTTCTTTTAGAAACCAAACTTTAATTTCTGGTGTCCAAATCGAGTCAGAAGGACATCCATTCTTCCTGATAAAAAGAGGTAGCCTTTGTATTTCTGCTGTATTTCTGCTGATTGAGAAATACAGAAAGTGTTTTGCTTACCAGCACTGTTAATGCTGCCTTGTTGAGTGGGGTCAGGGCCACGTGTAGCCCAGTGAGATTCATTCTGAGTCCATCCTGCAGTCTGGATTCCTGCCATTTTGTGGGATGGATGCAGCACCTGGAAAAGTTCAGGTCTGATCCTGTGAAATACAAGACACCCTCACATTTTATCACCCACGATGGGAAGCCACAGCTGATAAGCAGCTCCTAAATCAGTACATACATGTATTGGTCACTTAGCTACCAGGATTAACGGATACATAGAAGTAATTGGCCAGATCTATGGTTTCCACCTTGTGTATTTGGGGTAGAATGCACATTTAAAGAAACGCGGTCGTTCCTACAAAGTCTGAAGGACTGAACAGGCGGCGGGGGGGAGAAGGGGGGTCATAGTGTGTGATAGTGTGACATCTTGTTTCTGAAAAAAGCCTTTCTAAACGGTAACCCATTTGCTGTAACATTGTAACGTTTGCTGTATTTCAGCGTTGGACAGACGGGATTAATGCAATTCATCAACCACTAACAGAATACATGGGGATAATCAGGTTTGGAGATTTCGTTTTATTGTTGTCTTCATTTGGGGGCTCTGGGGTTTTTCTTTAAATAAAAGCAGACAATGGCTCTAACACATAAAACAAACTGTGGGCTAGTTCTTTGCATCCTGAAGATGAAGTTTTGAAGAGCATTGCAAGTGTCAGAAAAGAAAAGGAAAATGAGGTTCTCTAATACTCTATGTGCTTGTACTGCTTTGGAAGTGCTTGATAGTGCTGAAGTTAGAACAGCTTCTCTTTTTGATTAAGAAAACCCATCACTGTAGAGAGATCATGTCTTTAAAGGTACAGCTATACAACATAACTTCTTTCTTCGACAGTTTTTCATGACCTGTATTACAGGTCTGTTTTCAGTTTGCAGAGGGACTTAGCCCAGCATACACCAGACTGAACACACAACTTCAAAATGCTGTTTTACAGACTGGCGATCTGTAAACACTGTAAAATACCAACTTCCAACAGTTTAATCAGTTTTATTTTTGTACAGTATTCGTAACCTTTATAAGTTATTTTGCTGTCCTGTTTTGTAAATCACATGAAATTGTAAAAAAAAGAAAAGGAAAAAAAAAAAGTAGGCATAGATGTTTTTGTACATATGTGTATATATATTGTCCAAATAAAAAGGAATAAAAACACCCAAGCATGTTTTGCATGATTGGAGTCAGGCAGTGGTCATGGTGTGCCTACCCACTGCTTAGCTTGTTTCTCTGCTCCTCAGGTGTTCTCACAGGTATTCCTTCTCTGCTACTGCGGGGAGGCACAAGCACAACTTGCACTGGGGGAGTGTCCCCTCACCAGCATACTCTAGGAAGGCCCTGTCCCATTGCTCAGGGGCTTTTGAGCTCAGACAGGCACTGCCCCTCACACCATGCAGCTGCTCCATGAGACAACGATGCTTCAGCCTGCGCAGCCACACTGCTGCCTTGAGATGATTGCCATGGTTTGGAGGGGTTTCTGGTGTGAGGAATAACAAACCACGCGCTCAGCTGCTGAAGGAGGGGAAGGCAAGAAACCCTGTGCCAAAAAGCTTGCTGACTTTTGTGGTCGCTGACATTGTGGTTGCTAAAAACAACTACTCATACAACCTGACTTAACTTGGTATGTGGGAACCGTGCTAGGGTGTGACTGCAAGGTGGAACCCTGGGCCCAGGGGAACATGTAGCCCTCCAGCAACACAGGCAGAGACAGAGGGGTGGAAGCATGCCACCTGCATCTGGAACAAAACTGGTAGGCAACCTCCAGGTTTGACCAGATGCCGAGGAGGAGTTTTCTGTCCTCAGACTTGGTGGCCAAAATACAGATGAATACGTTCACCACAGGGTTTTCTGGTTTTTAGCTTGTCATGGATTTTAGGAATGAGGCACGCAGGGCTGTGGCATTGGCCTTATTCTCCTGCCATCCCATCGTAAAAGACTTGCCCTAAAGTTATTATTCTTCACCTTAAACCCTTTAATATTTGTCTTTAGTGATGTAACTGAAACAGCTACCAAAACCTTCCTAGTGGAGAGAAGACCTGAGCCTTAGGAGATGCTTCAAGCTCTAATACACTGCAGCAAAGTCTTGCCAGGAGTGATGTAACTTTTGTCTGGAATACGTGTGACATGCAAAGGCTGGGTGCACCCCTGTGGATGCTGTCAGACTTTGTCAGTGGCATGGGGAGACACAGCCCTGAACACAAACCAACTCCTGCAGAAAGCACAGCTTCTATAAGGTGAATTTTAATTTTTCCTCTCTGCTGACGATGGAAGAAAGGAAATGTGCCATAAAATGCCACAAAAGTCCAGTTATATGCCTTCAGAGTGGTGTCTGCTTCATGAGCATACTGATTTCTGTGCTTGAACTGCATACACCCTGGAGGCTGCGCCACTTGAATTATATTGGCATCAAACCAGTACATTTTATTCAGCAAAGTGTAATAAATACTACAAAAGTTCTGATTAAAAAAAAAAGTCCTTTATGAACAGCACAGTTGGGTTCAGAAGCAAACACAAAGTGGATCCAGAGTCCTCAGCCACAAATAAAACTGTAACATCTGTGGCTCTTCACCTGAACAGACCTTTAAGCATCACTGCAGCAGCAGCACAGTGTGGGGCCGATACTGATGGTGGTGTCTGAGAGCAAGCCCATTTGCTCTCCTTGTGCTGGTCATCTGCTTTGGATTTACTCTGCGTTTGTAATTCTTCAGGAAAACCAAACCAACACCCCCCAACCGAACAACAAACAACTAAAACCCCCTTGGTTGTCAATGAAAAAGCTACTACATGACCCAAACATAGGAGAATCATTGTTAGTGGATTGCAGTCAAGATCAAGCAGCATAATGTTCATGGTCTACATTTTTGGTTAGAAACTAGGGAGGGGGGAATCTGAGACTTTTCTTCTTTAAATTACATGATCCCAATTACCTTAAAGCATATATTCATTTTAAACCACCCGTGTTGCATGTCACCTGTGCCACCTTCTGCTCTCTGGCCACCTTCTGCTCTCTGTTCTTTCAAGGTTCCTCCTTATCCTCTATCACCATCCTCTCAGTTACCATCTACTCTCCCCTTCTTGCTCCTAGCAAAACCAGCTGTGTCCACTACTATGCATGGTTCCTTATCCCCAACAAAGTGAATTTTGTCTTTCCTGTCCAGCTTACCTACTGTGTTCTTATCTCCATGCTTCGTCTGCGAGCATATGCTTTGCTCTTTTACAAATGCACTCTTGGTACATTTGCCAAGATTTCATGTAGCCCAGGTGCATAATTGTTATAAATCATTTGCAGTACTAAGCTCCAGCTAATAACATGCACAATGTCATGTTTCGAGAACAACATAAATCATAGTTGTTGGTTAATGCTGGGTGGCAGCTCAGCCCTAGGCATCCACTTGCTCACTTCCCTGCAGTGGAGTGGGTCAGAGAATAAGAAGTGAGGACACTCCAGGGTTGAGAAGAAGGTTATATGGAAAGCAAAAGTCATGTGCACAAGCAAGGTGAAATAAGGAATTCAGCCACTACTTCCCATGGGCGGGCAGGCAGGCCCTCAGGCATTTCTCCAGAACAGCAGGATTCCACCACACAGACTGGCTACTTGGGAAGACTTAACTACAAATATCCTTCCTTCCTTCTTCTTTCCCCAGCTTTTACTGCTGAGCACAACATCATGTGCTATGGGATATCACTCTGGTTGCTTGTGGTCATTGTGCCCCCTCTGAGCTTCTCGTGAACTTCTTGTGCAGGTGGGGCAGCATGAGAAACAGGGAAGGCCTTGGTGGCTTGCAAGCACCGCTCACCAATGGCTAAACATCCCTAGTTTAAGAACAGTGTTCCAGTCACAAACCTAAGAACACAGCCCCAAAGAAGCTGTTGTGAAGAAAATTACCTCTATCCCAGCAAAAACCAATACAACTATCAATGAACACTGGTTTAGGGGGGTATTAGGTCAACAGGAGAAAGACTGGAGGTTTTACTTACAGAGCAACCAGGGAGCAGAAGAGTAGTGGAGAAAAGATGGTGGGATGTGGTGGAAAGCCCAGAGAAGGGAATTGCTGGGCAGGGGATTGTGCCATTGCAAAAGAGCTGAGCCACAGGAGGGTAGGCTGCAATAGTGCAGGTTATCACCTCTAGCACCTTCTGCCTTGGCTGTTGATCCTGGCCTTTATTTTTTCATGTTTTCCCTGCTGACTTTCAGTGCTGCCACAGTGATGCCTGAAAAGCTTTCAATGGGTAAACACACCTGGCCCTGCACTCATCTCCCTTCTCCCTGTTTAACGTTCAGACTTGTCAATGGCTAAAGTTAACACCGAAATAAAATGAAGTATAGTAACTACTACATCCACATACAAACACTGCCCTTCATCCAGGCTGTTGTAATATTCAAAGGGCAGCTGGATCAGTGAGGCCCACAGGAGAAGCATGGCTCTTGGCAAGCCTAGCCTGCAAGAGCAACAGCAGAGAAACATTCCTGCAATTTTCATCCTGGGGCAGGGGGAATATTTTTTTTGGAGCAGAGGTAGATTTAAATCCCTTACCCATCTCCTTCCTCTCCAAAGTTTGATGCAGTAAAACCTGGGCTTAGTCTTAATTATCAAGGTAGTGGGGGAAAAAAATGCCTGTGTAACAAAAATTTCTAGGAAAATGTGCTTTGAACGTTGCGCTTCAGTGAGTCAGAACTGAAGAGAGTAATTCTGGCTCAGAGCTATTTACAGTGAAGCTACAGTGCCAAGGTTTCCTCCACTTCCCATGATGTAGCTCTCCTGTCAGACACCTCCCATCAGATACTGTGCAAATCAAATCTGAAGAAACTACTGTGCACCTTTCAATAAGCAGCCAAATAAAGACAGGAGAGAGGAAAGGAACCGATCATCAAAACAACTTCCATAAAATTACTATCTATCTGTACAGTTAGTAGGTATTGCTGAACCAACACAGCTTTTCACATTGGTGTGGTGCTCCTTGCCCAGCACAGGTGGTGTTGAAGGCTGTGCGGTGCAGGGACAAGAGAAAGAATGTGTGTGACCACCCCTCAGCCAACCCCTGGGGACAGCCACAGGACCCTTGCCCAGCTCAGCAGACACCAAGCATCTTGAATTACAGATCTCCTCACATTTCCTTCCCTCCCCCAGGTAAACCCTGCTATCCAAAGCCTAAGCATGGACAGCGTAGACAGTGCCAAACATCTTAAATGTTACGCACGTATTTGTAAAACAGAATGAAAAATTCCACATCTTACTAATCCGTTTCCTCTAACACTTACTCTCAAGAGGACATTAAGGAATGGCATGGGAATTGGGAAAGGAAGGTGAAAATTACAACCTCTTAGTAAGTGATGTTCAAAAAACTAAGAGGCCTTGCTAAGGGAACAAGCAGGTAACTGCGGGCTCACAGAAGAAACCCGTCAGTTTCCACTATCCATAGCACAGTGTTTGAAGATGGTTCAGAAGCTTCTAGAAAGGAAGAATAAATCAGAGAGTTTAGTAACAAAACAGATGGCAACATGGCACAAACCATACAGAAAAGCTTCCAGTAGTGTTAACTCTAAGTCAAATTTGCTGTCAGGCCTGGAGCAGGTGCCTGTCCTGTCCCCTAAAGAGCACCTACCACACTCTTCAGTAAGCACCCTGTAATCCAGACCAGCTCCATGTGTCTCATCATCTCTCACTAACTCCAAACCCTGCAGATGTTCCCAGCCAGCAACAGCTTTGACAGGCCTCATCTATTTTTTTCCAGTAAAAGCCTAAGCTTCACATAAGCATGTTAAAGGAACTGCAGTTGTGCAAGAGTCCCTCTTCCTTCTAGTTTGCAATTTCATCTGACTAAAAATCCGACTAACAATAACACACATGCATGAGTGCTATTCATAATCACAAAACACAGTAAAAGGTGAATTAGAACTGCTTTCCAGTATTTGGTTTCTCAAGATCTTTATATTTCTCTCAGTAAGCCACAATTTCCATGCTGCTTCTGTCTCAATATGTGAGCAGACACAGATGTTTGTCAGAACTGCAGATGGTGATGGAAGAGCATCTTTGCCAGTCTTTAGTTGGTCTAAGCAACAGGGAAAAGTACCTATTTTTGGAGAAAGCTCAATTTATGCTTCAGCTGTCAGGACTATTTGAGGTCTTTCCACTTCTGCATTTTTGAGAGGTCCTGTCTAGTCAGCAGGAAAAGCTGGATCCTACATGTATATTTAACCTAAGCTCCCACTCATCCCTGCTCCTCCAAGTTATACTGAAATTAACTCCACAGGTTTTATAGCAAGAGTCCCTGAGGAGCTGAATAGCAGTAGCAAAGCACATGGAACGGCAAGAAAGCCGGCAGCTTGGAAGGGCCCTATATACAGGTAAGGAGTGAAAAGTAATGCTGTAACTACACTAAGTGACTCTGGGGATTTTCATGGCTGAATATGCTATTCAGTTAAAGAGACTTCCTCTGTAGCCAGTCTCTGTATGTGGACAGGATACACCTGTCACATGAACTAGCAGGTTACTAACATGGTATGGGTGGTTACAGTCCTGTTGTATAGCCCACATGTAAATAGCAAGGGCTGCTTTCATACACAAAGTTGTTTTTACAGCTCTTTAAGGGCTTTAGCTTGCAGAGCTGCTGGACAGTGAAGCGTTGTTGGTCACTAGCATGACAGTGGCACAGTTTTGCAGCTGACAACACCTTCTGGGGTAAGTTAATATGAATGAGAGTGTCATACTAAGATTGTGGCCAGATACATCAAAATCAGGACCTCTGGTCAGTAGCTGACGTACCTCTAAGGAAAAAACAAACACCCACAAGCCCGTCATCCTCTTCAATTGTGCGGTATGGCAGGCATGCATTCAGAAGACAATTTCTATGACAGAATCTGAAGTGCCATCCTCTTGAAATAAGTCAGACTTATATGTCATACCTCAGTCTGAAATATGAGAATGGAACTGAACTCTGAAGAAATCCCATGAAGTTCTCTAAGATGACAGCATTAAGAACAAACAGCGCTGTCTAGCCATAGAAAAAATGAGTCATGCAAGTAGTTTCACTTATTTAGACATTGAAAACAAATTACACTTTTCATACAGTGATCCTCAGAGACCAAATAGAATGTCTGTATTTTCACTGAATTAAAAAAAAAAAAAACAAAACAAACCCAAAACAATCCAAAACCAAAATCACCTCAGAAGTTCAGGGTTAGGAGAAGCCAAGTACTCTGAAGATGAAAGAACACATTTAAAACCCTAATCTTGCAATACAGTGAATACATAGGCATGTAGCCTAAATTAACTTGAGGATACTATGCTGGCCCACTCAGTCCCTGGACTATAGCCCAAGTTTCCACACTCTTAGTTCTTCTGTCAAATATTTGTGTATGGACACTAATCCTTATGGAACTTACTGCAGGAACTCGTTTCACAGACAGAGCTCCATTGATCAACAGTGGTCTGCAACAGAAGAATGTGTAGTTCTCTGTTTCCTTAACACAAATCTATTCAGCACAAGAATTGCAGTACATAACTTGTAATACCAACACCTTCTAAATCCTATCTTATATTTTGCAGAAAGGCTATTTTGTTTCTCTCATTATAATGTTCTAAATGTATGAATTCCACTGGCAAAGTTCATTAACAGGATGCTGTTATGAAAACTCCCACTCAAAATGAGCTGCCCACCAGATTCTGCATAAAGTTCTATTGAAGGCTACTTCCCCTGTGGAAACAAGGATGCTGCATATTTTCAGATGGTGTCCTGGGACTCAATCATTTTTTTCATACATTTTACATACCAATTGTAGTTTCCATTTCTTTAAAAATCATACCCTTCACAATTCGGTATAAAGTGTTGTGGGGTTTTTTTGGTAATCAACATTCTTCTCATAATACCTATTTTCAAATGCTTAAAAATTGTCAAAACTCCACTCATGAATTTTATGGCTATCTGTTGAAAAGCCATTGCATACACAACCACTTCAATGCGGCTGAACCTTTGTAGAAAACCTCCTGGTTTTAACTTACATGTGAAATCAGGAGGACTATTTTCACCATCTATCATCAAAAACATATCAAGTTTTACTTTATAAAAGCAATAAAAAAGTTACATATTGCTTAGTTTTACTTTTGCAAGTTAACCAGCTCATTACTTCAAAAACACCTGTCTCTTTGTCAATCTTCTTGCTGAGAGATGTGATAGAAAAATAAAGACCATCTCTTTCCAGGAATACAAAATAGAATATTAGTGCAAAAATAATAAATAACAATAATATAGTAGATTACTCTAAAAATAATACATTCTTTATACTAACTTCAGGTATGTTTTCACAAAACAAAAATTAATACACATCTACTTACAAACTATTATCTTCCTACAAATATGTTCTTCATTCAAAGTTTCTATTTCAATAGGAAAATTTCAGAGAATATACTTTACTGTGTTAAGGAAACACTATTATCAAAAGCAATTTTTTTTAAATTCCAAAACAAAAAATGAAAAACAAAGACACAGAACTAGTCCAGTGTAATCTATAAAAATTAACTGCACATCTGATTCTACATTACTGATAAAAGAGCAAAATACAAGAAACTTCCTTTTTATTTAAACCTATTATTGAGAAAAAGTAGGTTCTTTGGAAAAAGAGGCCACTACGAAAGATTTTGGGGAAAAAAAATAGGTACTTCAAATCAGTTACACAAGTTTTAAGAATCAGAGTTCTTAATTAGCTCTTTGCAGTTCTCATCTTTCTCAATATCTGAAGTCTTGAAAGCCAGATGTTCCAAAAAGTTCTACAAACCCAGAATACATTTATATATATTTACATATATATTTATATGTATATCTGTATCACTGTTGAGCTATCTTTCCAAGTCGCCGCCGCCGCCTAGAGAAAGCCTTGAAGTTCCATTTGATTGACTCCAACATAAAAGGTCCATTGTAGACAAACAACACCGCCATCTTGTCATTGTAAGTGAGATTCTGCAGGAGCTGGTGAAAAACACAAAAGCCAAAGTCAAAATAACTGATGTCAGAATGTTCCATGTTACTTACAAAAGGTGAAGGAGGTCTACATAAAGCCTTAGAGCTCAAAGGATCAATACAGCAGGATTATAGCTTTTCTGACAGATGCCGCACATTTGTTCCTAGAAATGCCCCAAATGACTCCACTCATTCTTCACGCCATTTCAATACTTCACTGTTCTTACTACAGAAAAATCTTGGTATTTAAAAACCTTTGTACCTGTACCTTCATGTGCAAATGAAATCATTACTTTTTTGCTGTATCCACAATAGGCAGAGAATACTGGCTGTTTTTTCCAGGGCAGGGCAGGGCAGGGCAGGATGTAGAGTTACTTGGGTACAATTCTCTCTTGTGCTTGTGCTCCTCTAAACCAAGCAATTTCCACTACTGGAAAATCAAAACTTTCAAAACTTCTTAAAGTTGCACTGTTGGATTCTGGAATCTTGCTGTCTTCTGGAGTAACTCCAGGCACTGCACTTCTTCTCTGAAGTATAACAGCCAAAACTCGACACATCATAGTCTAGATCTTCTCAGGCACAACCCCAACAGATTTTTCAGGCAAGGCGTGGGGTTATCTGCAGTGCTCTGGAGATGACTTTCTGCAATCGCCTTGTAACTGATGCTCAGCTTGTTATCCACAGTAACTTCTCTCGTGTCATTTAGGCATGTATGCCTTAGAACTGATGCTGTTAACTTTTTCCACTCAAATACCCTATTATTTGCTTGTCCACTCTAAAATGCATTCCATTTTCAAAACAAGTTACCTCAACTCAGATTGTTTTGAATTCTAATTTTGTTCTACTGCAAAGAAGCATTCGTGATTATTTGCATGTCTAACATGCAAATAATTCAGCATGGATTGGTATTAAAATACTGATTTTAATATTGATTAAAAATATTGATTTTCAAACCCACCACTCACTCCTAAAGAACACAATCAGTTCATCTACTTCTTCTGACAGTAAATCACGATTCAGAATGCAATTTTCTGAATCAACTCTACTGCATATTAAATCTGTACCTCTTCCACTCTGTAGCTTGCTTAAAAATATAGCTGGGGTAAGTGTCGACATACTGAACAAAACCATGATAACATTTTTCCCTGTATCCACTGGATACATACACAGAATTTAGCTTAGCATGACAATTTGTCATGCTTTCTAGTATGTGATGACATATAGCATAGCCTCAGGAACTGCAGGTAAGTCACTCGAAGAGCAGTCTGGCTTTCTCCTCGGCCGGCTCTGTATAGCCTTGTAATTATCCTCTGATGCAGCCCACTCAAAACATATCATCAGCTAAAACCTTTACATGAAATGCTCTCAATAATGTTCTTTGTGGTAGGCCATTGCAACTTCACCGTATTGTGGTGATCACCGACTTGCAGAAGAGAGGGAGGGAGAGGAAAGAAGAAATACAAATACCTTCAGTCACCTTTATAAATGCATCTCTTGCTGCTGAATAGTAGTGCAGCACATTCCTTGATCTTCCTCTTACTATATGTTAAATGGATTTTTTTTTTAGCATCTGAATTTTTTTTTACTTCTGCTTTCTCAGTTTTACTCTAATCTTTCCGGTTAGCTCTTCACATTCAGTTTTCCCCCTTCTCTATTCATAGTAATCTGACAATGAGCACAACTTTTGAAACAGACTCTGAACCTTAGTCAGTCATGCTCTACAGGTGCTTATATGTGGGAAGCATTACAGTTAGTGGAGCTATTCCTATCCTATTAATAACCAAACCACTCTCTCACTCCTCAAAGTAGAAGAGAGCACAGAAAAGCAAATCCAATAATGACAGAAATAGCAAGATGACAGGATAGAAAGAAGTAATATGGACAGGAAATGACCAAACTGTGTGGAGGTAAGTATACTCCAAGATCAAAAGGAACAAAAAACGTCACCTTCCTTCTACTTTCAGTCAAGTACCTGCTGTAGGAGTCTTTTCTCAGGCCCTTCAACCGCTGTTTACAGGTAAGAATAGCATGTACCAGCCAGATTTTCTAATACACAGTGAAGTACAGGATGCAGGAGAATTGGTATCTTAATAAAAAGCATACAGCCCATTACTGAACGCTACCTCCGTGGTGTACAAGTAACCTTTACTAGTTCAATCTGTTTTGGATCAAGTTGCACATAATATTAGCCTCTGTTAACTCTTCAGGTGAACAGCCACCCTACTTTTTAGTCTTTTTAAGCCACAGCATCTATCACTGCATCATCTAGTAAGCCAATTATATATATTTAATTTAGCAGAAGAGCACAATTAAGCACTGGTCACTCTTGACTGTAAAGTCCTCTTCAAGCCACTCTCCACAGAGCATAGCACTGACCATATCTGAGCTTGTAAATTTCAGATTACTTCTTGAATACTTTTCCTCTATTACTGTGGGACTTCCCTAGTTCTTTCGATGTCAGCAGCACCAGCCTGTTCCGATATCATTATCTGAGTTGTTTGGAAGCTGGTCTCTGATACAATCCCAATTCTGTGTGAGCTAGAGGCATTCCACTTGACAGCCTTGTAACATGGTACCCTGTCCACTGATGGTTAACTTGTAATACTTCCATACAGGCCACAATTACATAACGCGTTTATGATCAGGTGAGCCTTGGTGTAAGTTGCCTGAATTCTTGCCAGGACTGCCCTTAAAATGGACAAATTCCCTTACAGTTAACTTTTAATATGAAATTCTTCAGTAAAACAGAGGTAAGTTTTGCATTGTTTTACAGGGGTGATATAACACAAAGCTCAACTCTTCTACATATTAAACTTTCATTTTCTGCTACGCACCTTTGGTGTAATAAAGAAGTACTGAGATGTGCTTTCTTTACAAGCAGTGTTCACAACCATTTCAAAAACTCTTCTCTCATTTACTGGATCCATTCCCTAAAAAAAGAAAAAAAAAAAAAGAAGTCTGCTCTCTCCACTATGTTATAAGCATCTGTACAGTAAGAGGTAGATACTGCAATATTGATCCTCACCTGATTTATTTCATCTACGACTCTGAAAGGACATCTGTTGAGTTCCTGTAGAGCCATCAGGTACAAAATAGTGGAAACACTTTTCTCACCTCCACTCTGATGATACGGAGTCAGCTCATGAAGTTCACTGCTACTGTGGAATTTGACTCTAATGCGAACCCCATACTTGTCGTACTCCTCCTATAACAACCAATACCCATTAAACTCAGTTTCTTATACTACAGCTTATTTGATAATGACATGCAAATTAAAGGAAATTTATGTCAAGTGTTCTACAGGGGTATACGAGCTAGTCAGGTTCAACTTAGTATCAATATATTAATTCTGTTTCATATATTTTTCTTAACTCTTGATCTGTTCTTCTTAGATAGAGAATTTTCAACACCATTCTCTCCCTGTGACAGTGATTTGTTAAATTCTAATTCCTCATAAGGAAGACTTTAATAAATATTAAGAACAGCAACAAGAAGAAATATTCTTGACTAGAAAAAGGACAAACCATACCTCTATAAATTCACTGGAAAAAATGCATTAGGGTACATTATCCTATCAACTTGAACAGTGGGGTGATGGGGGTGGTGGTGTGTGTGTGGAGGTTAAAATCCCATCTGAAACTCTTAAAAGTGCAAGCAGTCTAATTAAATCCTTCACTTTTCCTCCACTAGTAGATTGAGATACAAAGCTCATACAAAATCCACCATGACAGCAATTTCACTTTCATGCTCAGTCAGGAAAACTACACGTGGATTCCGACCCCAGCCTTTTCTTTTTAACAGAAAACAAGACACTTAGCAGCAGTTTTAGTCAATGATGCATAGGTATGAGGATAACCCATGTGGTTCAAAAGACAACCCACACAAGGAAATACATTCATAATTAGAGGAAGAAATTTTCCAAGTACTTGTTGGTATTTCTGAAGTTCAGGTAAACTCAGTGCAGGAAAGAGAATGCAATCCCCAGGGCTGAAAACCCATACTGACTGCAATCTTTATATGCACCTAATCAAGTTAATGAGACTTACAGGAAAGATTCAAAAGTTTCAGAAATATGAGTTCCAAGAGGACTGTCTATATTCACTATGGATGCCTATTATCCTGCACTTGAAGGTAACTAACTCATTATCTTTTTGTAACAGTTGTAATGCCTAGAGTAGAAGAAAGGAGCAGAGGCGATTCCTAATGGTTACTCTTGGAATACTAGACTCAGAAAGGACAGTCCTGACAAAGGAACACTGAGACCCCCAGCCCACAGAAGCTGGCACATTCCAGTTTGATTCAAATTGCCACATACCACAGTCAACAGGCATATGAACCTGGGTGACCTGGAAGAGCTGAGTCATTTTAGGGCTGGGGTTTATGATGAACAGGTCTAAAATGGTCTTCTACTTACCACGAAGTAAATAAGTCATACCTTACAAGATTTAAAACTCCCTTAAAGAACTTCAAGTCTATAGGAATAATTTTCAGCTTGATACCTTCAGGTCTTGCTTTGGGATGAGTAATGTATATACCAGATAGCATTCAACATTGGAGAGGATCTATTAAATCCTCTCAGATGAGCTCATCTGCTAAATCAGAAAATCAAGCTATCTTTTGGTGTTTTACTACACCTGCAGGTAGACAAACATCCTCAGGACTGGAAACCGGAAGGTCTGATCCTGGTTATTTACTTTCATGTACTACAAACCTCTGGTGTTCTTGGGGTACCAGTGTTAACAGAAACAAGGAACTGTGAATCTTTGAGGGACATCACACAACAGCTTCCGGTAAGTAGAAATAAAATACAAGACCCAAGGTCTCTATAGGCCCACTGGACTTTCAGCTGCATTGGAACTGATTGAAACTAGGCTTGGAGAAGCGTACAAGGTACAGGCTGGCAAAATTTCCAGTAAAGAAGATCCACCCTTTGGCACAGCTGCAATAGCATCAGAAAGTAAGGCCTTTCTTTCCAGACTACTGGGAGTGCCAGTTCACGTAACTGACAGATATTCCAGGAGCTGTCAAGACTGACATTCAAAACTCCCTGTGGGGAACCGAGGAAGGTGAGGGTTATTACTTTGAATTACTCTGAATAGCACTACCAAGTGCTACCAGGAAAGTCAAAACATTCACTTAAGGTTTCTGCTATGAAATCAAGGAAGAACCTAGTGAAGTGCTTCACACAGTATGTACTACCACCAAGGACAACATCAGACCACAAGGTTCCTGCAGAACAGGCTAACAGAGGTTTGAAATTCAGTGTCACAAGAATATTTCTAGGAAAGATGCCTCAAGCATCTCTCTCTTGATATTGACAGATCAGGGCAAAAGAGCTATCTGCAGAGAAGCAGTATAAAGAAGTAATCCAAGCTCTAGAACAGATTATCCATCCTTCTGTATTAGAGGCACTGATCCCTTGAGGAAAGTTTTAGTCATTGGCACAGTAACACTAACTAACCGCTTAAAATATTTGTGACATCTTTGCAAGAGAAAAGCAAAATTTTTTTAAGAAGGTATTCAGAATGACAGTCCAGACTCCCTTTGCTTTTAAACTGCTTTACTATTTTTCTATGTACCCTCTCCCAGATTACTTTTACATAGAAGATGATATCGGTGTGATATGGATCTGACTCTCTATCTAACTACCAAAAGAACTGAAAAGTCCATGTTTTAATGTCTTACTGTTTCAGAATATTAGTTTCTATGTAAACATTTTTTATGCAGTTCATGTAAACAGCCTTGTCAGCCACTCACTGTTCTGCCTCCAATAATAACTACCACCTAAAAAATTTTAAGAAAAGCTGCTCAAGTAATTTACAACAGCAAAAAATGTCTAAGTGTCAACTTTCACTATTCTGGAGTCTATGCATTGTATACACGAGTCTTAAAATTGTCATTACAGAGACCAATTTGAAACAAAATACCCGATTTCTCTTCAGCCCACTTCCCTGAACATTTCTCCCCAAGGTACTGCAGATGCTTTAAACTCCTCATCACAGGTAAACCATGCCTGTAAATGTACTGAGGGCACAAGAGGCTATTCTGCTCTGGTGGGACCCCACCTGGAGTACTGTGTCCAGCTCTGGAGCCCTCAGTACATGAAAGACAGGGACCTGTTAGAAAGGGTCCAGAGGAAGGCACAAAAAATGATCAGAAGGGTGGAGCACCTCTCCTGTAAGGAAGGCTGACAGAGTTGGGGTTTTTCAGCCTGGAGAAAAAAAGACTCCAGGGAGACCTTATTGTAGCATTTTGGTTCTAAAAAAGGGCCTATAAGAAAGATGGGGAGAGACTTTTGCAGCAGAGCCTTTTGCAATAGGATGAGGGGTGATGGTTTTAAACTAAAAGACGTTGAGATTCAGGCTGGATGTGAGAAGAAAATTCTTTACAGTGAGGGTAGTAAAGTGGCACAGGTTGCCAGAGAGGTGGTGGATGCCCCATGCCTGGAGACATTAAAGGCATGAAAATAGAACACTATTCTTCCATATGAAAATAAATCATACCTCATTTTCCACATGAAGATCAACTTCACCAACACACTGCATAGCATTAAAGAAGTTACTGAACTTCTCATTAATCTGCTCAATCAGCTTTTTCAGAGGATTTAGCCACCTTTCTTTCACCTAGAAGCACACATATCCACATAAAACAATTCTTAATAACTGAATTTTCATTTAGAGATAGCATTTAAATAAATTAAAAAAAAATAATTCTGATTACAGAAGCCAACATCTCAGTTTACACTCAAGACTACTTGGAATGTTACCCTTTATTTCTGCATATATATTCTATTCAAACAGACATACTGACACATAAGTGATAATTTCAGCCATTACCTGTGAAATGTTTTGCCTATAGTTTTCCAATTCTTTTTTCTTTTCCTCTAGATACACTGTCAACTGCTCTATTTCTTGTGTCTGCTTAACATATTCTTCAACAACCTGCCAAAATAAAAAACCCCAAGCAGTCAACAAAATGTTTGCCAGTTCTAACCTTGACTATAAAAATATCACACTATAGTGATTCAATTCAGCACCATTACAGATTATTGCACTGCACACTGAACAAGATGCATTTCTAGCTTTAAAGCAAAGAAACTGTAAAGCATTGCTTCTTTCAGGTTACTGCAACTTTTTTTTTCTTAAAAGACAAAGAACACACTGTTCTTTTGGAAGAATCTACTTAAAATTCTAATAGATGCAGAATCTGGCATTTACAGCACATTGTTCCTGCTATCTAGCTTATTATACCAAGAGATCTAACACAAGAGTGGGAAGCAAGTACAATATGGGTGGAGGGGGAGGAAGGGAGAGCATGGAGAAAGCAGTGAACATACTGAAGCATTCAGGCCTGTGAAACAGGAGGCCCTAGTTTTCTCTTCATTCAGGAAAGCATCAATTTCCTCCAGTGTGGCCGGAAGCGCCTGAAAAGCCTGCAAGAGAGAGGATGTATGTGTTACACAGCAATGCTAATGAAGAACTCAATTTTGCTATAAAGAAATTGAATAAGCCATAAAGTATTCTATTAGTTTTAATTAGGATGTCACATATTCAAAATTTAACATAGCAAGATTCCCCCACAAACTGTTCTGGACAGAAAAAGAAGGCTTGAAGTGCTACTACACAACAAATACACAATTAATTACTCCTTAGTTGCCCATCCTGTGCAGGTACAGATGCTCACAGATTTGGTATAAGCCAGTGGCTACGCTAGTTAAGCCATACAAATGCTTCTAGGGGCTAGGAAGACTTCCAGGTAAGAAGGTGGGCCCTGACTTCAGTTCTTTTTTGTTGCTCCGTTAGAGCAAGAAGGTAGAAAAATATGGCCTCTAATTATTTGTGTGAACTCAAGACTATGGATTTTAACTGAAATTTCAGATCAAATTTTCTGTCCCTTGTGCACAGAACAAAGTGACAGAAGATATCCCCAGATATCTATTTAAAGCACTATTTAAAGGTGCTTTAAAAGGTTAAGTGACAATATATGAAGCAAAACTAACAAAAGTACTCATGAACTTTTACTGGTAGCCTTCTAATATAAAGACACAGTATTCTTGGCTGGAGAAGTCAGACTGGTGTACAGCATCCAAAATCTAAGAGGTATGCAGAGATCTTGTTTGTACATACAGTTTGAAATTCTTTCGGAAGATGTTCATCCAGACCCAGCCTGCAGACCTGCTGAGCTTTTTTCAGCAATTCCTTGCAGTTCTCTACAAGAACTCGCTTCTTATCATCCAGCTCACGAAATCGTTGCTGTCAGAAAAGACATTGAAGATATGAAACCCCATTTTTCTACTTTATTATAAATTTCTAGAGGTGACACTAGCACATTGGCAACAAACATCTAAATCAGAGAACGCAGGTGAAATCAGACTCCTTAAAGACAGAAAATCTTTGTTTTAACACACAGAACTCATTCTGCCTCTCTGCTTGAAGTCAACAGATGCCAAGGTAGACTTATCAAAAGCATTCTTGTAATACAGACAAATTTATTGTCCCTCAATTAGAACACTACGCATGTAGATCCAATAGATGTCTCAAAATAGAGTATTTTAAAGGAAATTCCCTATACACCAAAACACGACTACTGTGAGCCTTATTTTTTTATTAGCTCTCATTCAACTGTATTTATCTGCTTGGGAAAACACAATGGATATGATGTACACTGAATGACATATTTTAGCTGAAATTTTACAGAGTAAACCCCATAATTACACAATCAGAAGTACTTCCTTTGCTGTTTCATATTCCACCTCTATAATACAGCCAGCAAAATACAAAATGGAAACACACATAGTTTTCAAAATAGTGCTGAAACATAAGTAAAACACAGTTAATTTCTGGTTTTCAACAGCAGTCTCAAAGCTAAACTGTCTGGAATTTTCGACAGGTAAGTGGCCAGCCCTGCTCAATGGCTTTAATAATGCAGTGTTATCACAGCAGTAGTTAAAATACAACGCACAAAATACAGTACCTTCATGAAACACCAAGCTAAAGGTTATCTCAAGCAGTATTCAGGCAAAAACCTTGGACAAAAGTGTCTCTTCGCCTCTGCCCCAGAAATCTCAATCACATATCTCTATACACATCATCCCTCCTGCAGGTCTGCTGCTTCCAAATGCCAAGCTGACAGTGCTTGGGAGCAATGGTTTGCTGCTGTCTCCCAGCTCAGGTGAGCACATAGCTGCAGACAGCTGGGAGCTCCAGCCACTTAGAAGTAAAAAGGTGCATATACCAATACATACTAAGATACCACAACTTTTAATGCAAGTTATTTTACTATACATTTACTCAGTGATTACACATGCAATCCATCTTTGTAGTAGTTACACCACAGGAATACAGTTTTCAGAGGTACAAAATTCTAACTTATACTCCGTAAGCACAATACTTTGCTTCAGAACTTTCTTCTGACAGTTTGGAAAGTTTAGTTATGTTCCTATACCTGGGAGAGCTTTATCTTCCCAATTTTTTTGTTGTGAACTTCAGTTAAATACGGGAGCCCTCCAGTGGCAAAAAAAAACCCCAAAAAACAAAACAGCAAACCTGAAGCTTTCATTTGGAGAGCATACAGTTAGCTAAAGGCTTATTCCACATTTTTAAAACACAGGACACAGACACCGATAGCAAATCACATCACTTTCTGACAATTTAATCTTTATTTACTAAATGCAACAGATGCAGTAGTAACAAGATACTATCATGAGTGGTCTTCCATAAAGTTCTTTCCTTCACTCAAAAATTAGGGCAGCTGATCTCTACAGCATGTATGAACTCAAAAACCCTGTTTTTCCTTTCTGTCACCAAACATGAGGAAACAGATTTTGCATTAGAGGTAAACAATTCAGAATCTTCACAAACTACAACACTATGAAGGTATTTTTCTACACTGTGTTGATGTTTTCAGAAGTGAAAAATAATAAAAAAGAATTAAAATAAAAGCTTTTTTCAGATTTTACACCCCCTCCCTAGGTCTACAGTAGAGAAGGAGGTAAATGTCGCAAGGCAGGGCAAAAAGGACTGGCATTAGACTTATACACCTAAAAGTGCAGTAAGTGGAAGATACCCTCCTTTTGGTTACAGGAAAGATCTCACACCATTCTGAATTAACACAACTAAAACTGTACTGCACAACACTTATGTTCCACTATATATCTGCATATGCCCTATAATGCATTCAATAACATTTTTAGGGAAATCTTAGAAAGTTCTAAATTAAAACTGAACTGTATTTTGGATCCCAGAAATTGCAAAAACAACTGGCTTCATCTAAAATGTGTTTGACCTCATGCTAACAAAAGCAAAGGATCCAGTGAAACACATCACACCCATACTTTCTTCATACAAGAAACGTGAATTTATTCTTATGTGTTTGACCACTCCAGAGCCAAAGGCAACTTTGAATCATCTGAAGTGGGGAATGTCAGCTCACAATTGTACATACAGCTCTCATGTGAAACCCTGCAAAGCTGCACAGAGTAAGATTCTGAGTTTCTCTCTAAACACTGAAAACCTGACATGGATTCAACATTGAATATGCCTGACCAAGCCTAAGGCAAGCAAAATTCTTCAGAATGTAAAAAGGAAAATGTGTGGGGAGAGAAAAACCTCAGCATTCAACAAGACTGGGAAGCAATAGATATTTGATGTGGTTATGAAGAAAGTACTAGAATAAACGCACTGAAAGTTCAACAAGGTTTCAGTTGTCATCCAGCTTTGCCAGCTGATTGTCATGGCCACACACTAAATAAAACATAGATAAGTATAAATAAATAAAAATACACTAGTTTTGGTTTCTTCTCCCTCCTACATATTAAAAAATGCATAGCAATGTTAAAGTTTCTGTTGATTTCCTTACAGTGACTCAATAGAACAATCTAGTTAAAAAAAAACTCTAAATAGAACAACTTACCATTCTGAACAGAGATGCTACATGAAAAAATCACAGTCTAGGCAGAGCTTTACATCTGTTTCAACCAACACCATAAGAACACCACCACCACCACCTTGGAAAGAGCTACATCTAGGTACTTCAGGAAAGCTCTGTACTAGTGCAGGGCTATGACTACAGTTTCCTGAAACGCACCTACCAAACAGCAGAAACCAGCTATACTCTGTGCATGAGTAACTGGCATTCTGTTGTGCTCACCAATACCACAACCAGTTTTGTGCAAAATAAGGTGGTTAAAGAAAATACAGTTACCGGTAGCCAACGTTTTCTCATGAATTTGTGCTTAAACACATGCCTGGTGACAGCATTTAATTATCTGAAGTTTGAAAATTTAACCATACAAAAACAGAATCTGCATTTTCTTAAAACTTGGCTTAAGGAGCAAATGCTGCAATATACATACTGAGTATTAATGCCAATTATTTAAACAAATTATTATCAAATGAACCTGAAAATTAACAAGCTATCAAAGCGAGACAATTAGCAAGACTCTTTCAAACAACCATCATAAACATGCATGCAAACTCTGCCAATTATTTAATGAGCAGATGGGGCTAACAATCCTCCCTAATATTCAGTATGGGTCACAAACACAGATTTCCTTCTTAGGCTCACTAAATAAATTAAAAACAAGGAGTTGTTAAAATAACACCAAGGTTCCCACTTGAACTGCAATGATATAATACAAACCCCAGAAATCTGTTGCTGCTAGCTAACTTGACTTGTTCAAAACCATTGAACAAGTTGGCCTTAACATAAATGGTTAAAAACCCCCACTATAAAGCAACAAACACGATGCTCTCTTCACAGTATCCCAGTGCCAACACCTCACAAAACGAACATATGCGATATCTTCAATGGACCAAGTGGGGTTTGTGTTTGCTTCAAATCTTAATCAGTATCTACTTAAGTACCATAAAGACTCAAGACTTCTTGGGAGAGGAAGACCATAAATGACTGCTAAGTATTAACAAAGCTTCATGGCTTCTTTGCCCGATACCCACCACCCCAATTTTCAATGAAGGCATCATGACCAGCATATGACCTACAAAAATGTCTGAAGTTTAAATGCATAATTAATGGTCCCATAACTGTAACATTTAGGTTCCAATTTACTTCACTATACAGCTTTTGTACAATATACTTATTTCTGCTTGGCTTCCTCTTTTTGCATGTTTATTTATTTTATAAAACCTTGTTAGCAGCTGTTCTCAAGACTTCCTTGAGGTGCGGCAAAGGCATCCTCCCAGCAGCTTTCTACTGCTGTAGGAAAAAAAAACAACAGCCAAAGCCACTTAGAAGCTGGAGAGAAGGCCCAATTTAAACACACAATTTCAATAAATGAATTTCAGAGGAAACTAAGAACTACTGAGTTTTCCCCATCAACATTCATGTCCTCAGGCAGAAAATAAGAAATAAACCACAGAGTATACAACATACACGATTCACAGGACAATACAGGAAGGAGAACTTCCAAAAAAAAAAGGGACTAAAGACTTAATTCAAAGACTCAAAATGCAGTATATGGAGAAGCGTGACTTCGGAGTTCCACGCAACTGAAAACTTACAATGCAGCTCAATACTCAGATAAGGAAAAAACTTACATCCCGTACTTTGAGTTTTTTCCTCCTGTAGACTGAAAGACTGTACTATTATTACACAAATACAAAAATTGACCTCTGTGCACCAATCCAGGAGACACCACAGCATCCTACGCTCTTCAAAAACAGCATGTGTGTGGAAGTAATTTCTCACACTTGTCCTTTTCCCCGAACACAACATAGCTTCCTAATACGATCAATACAATGACCATTTATTGTCCTCTTTCTCTTTCCCTCCAAAGAAGGCATTTAATTGCAGTATGATAAAATGAGCTATGAAAGAAAGGTAAAACACATCTGCCTTACTCTGACACGGTACTTTCTGGCTCATCTTGAGCTCGCATGTCCTGTATGCATTGGGGTTACTTGCCTATGACAAACTTGGAAGCAAAATACTTCTAAATGACAGCTAGTGTTTTTACGCACATCATGCATTATAATAAAAAAAATCCAGGACATGATGACTTTCAGAATATTTTCACAGAAGCTTAGTGGGCTTAGTTGAGGAAGACAAAGCTCCTATTCAGTTTTAAATGAAGATGCTGAAGTCAAACTACAGAAATCAAGGCTAAATATTTAGCAGTACTAACACAGACACAGAAGCATCCTTTTTTATACAAGGGCTTCCACAGAAGATGCTTTCATATCAGATATCCCAGTATTCATAGGAATAGTTACCTCTGCGGCTTTTAGCTGTCCACTTGCTGTTTTATACTCTGTTTCTAGTCTGATCTTCTCAGCAGCCACTGCAGTGCTCTGAAGAATCAAATCTGCCTTGAGGATGTTCAGTGATACACAGCTCTACACAGGAAAACAGCAGATATCTCTTTTTTTTTCCACAAAAGACTCAAAACTGATACAATTACTATCAAGCTTTAGAATGGATTAATTTTTTAGTCATACCATACAATCTCATACACTGTTCAGCTCTTCAACAAATTCAACGAAAAAAGGAAGGTGCCTTACTGGTGACACAAGCTCTTCAAGATGTATAGTTCCCCCAGCTACTTTTAATCTGTAAGCATATAAATCTCACTTGCGACCAAAGCATTTTACATTAAAAGGCACATTCACTTTCCTTATGCCAGATACTCACATATGAAATGCAAGAAAAGACTAAGCCATCTCAATTCTCTGAGACAGAATAAAACAGGTGGATTTTGGTGGTCTTTGTAAGTCACACACAAAAATGGAAAAAGGTCAAAAAATAAACACATAAGATGTCTCTCTCACTGATGAGATGACTGACAGTGACTCTAGTGTCTTGCATCTTAACTGGAACAGACAACAGAAGGATGCTCTATTTTGGAAGTTTATTGACAGACTTTAGGGATCCCCAGAAGCTGGTCTAACATCTTTGACATTAAATGGTTGCTTATTTAAATGAGTCAGCCACAGGAATTAGCAACATAATCTTGACTGTGTGAAGGGCAGCTTTAAACCTCAAATTATGGGGCACTGAGAACACCAGTTTATAATATGCCAATTATAAAAAAACACAAACAAACAAACACAACCCCCACCCCCCCCCAAAAAAAATCTTCTCTCTTAATGAAAAGGAGAACAAGGTTCCAACTGTTGGTCTGTTCCAACTGCAAGGGACCTGTAGGATGAAGTTTTCAGTGTTAGCTCCTGACCACAATAGTGAGCCAAGGTCTGAGATCTTTACTATTTATCTGTTTCCAGTCATTGTAAGGAAAGTAAACTGAGTAAAGTCATACAAAAGGATATGAAAAATGGAAAAAGGTTACTCAAATACAACAACACAAAGAGAACTACACGCAAACCCGGTGCAGAATCTGAAACAGCAGAACAAGGCTGTTTCTGTCTACTGGTTGTGAAGTATTAGGTATGGTCCAGATGCAGTCTGGCACATCTTTGTGTAAATTTTTTATCATTTTAATAGCCTACAGTTAGCATAACTACAAAACTTACTGGAAAAGCACAAAGACACACAAATTCAGAAGCCTTCATGAAGTTTCGTTTGGGGATGACCAGAAATGTATGGATTTCAACAATTTTGACAAAACATATAATAAAACATCTTTCTTGTATCAAAACATTTTCTCCTCTTCATATGTACTAGCATGTATTTCCTACAGTATGCCAAATATAAAAATTAAGCTGACACATCACTGAAATAAATCCCTTTGATAATCAAAAATTATCTCAAGCAAATACCATCCTTGCTCCCCTACACCCCTGGTATACTGAGAAATACCCAGTATGTATCAAATCTGGTTTTCTACACTAGGTGATAAAGAGATGAAGACATTCCTTCAGGCATGTCATACAGCAGTCAGTAAACAACTCCAGGAGCACTTTACAAAAGCAACACACTGGGACAGATTATGTGCTGGGAAATGCGCATCAAATTAAAGAAAAAAAAATATCAAAAGTATGTTCTAGAAATTTCTCTTAAAGCATTTGCACACGTTTTGAAGAGTGCTACTTTTCAGTATTGTTATTACCTGTACAAGTTCTGTAACATAATCTAGAACCTAAGCAACCCTCTCAACATGGCAGGTGTTTTGCCATTTGGCATTTCAAAATTGCTTTGGCTAGCTGACCAAAGGTGATTCTGAAACACTCCAATTGTTGCAGTCCATGCTTATTCAACAAACAGAAAGAGCCCACCCACTTGGAACATTTACTTCCTTTTTTATCATGTAAATACCAACAATAAATGTACTGAAATCACCCTCACTTCAAAGGTAATACTAAACTCTTGAAGGGTAAGCAAGAACACATTTCACCATTAGTAAGGCCTGGTAAAGTTAAAACATACATGCTCGAAGAGGCTGCAAAAATGCCAGTATTTTTTCTGCCGAGTGCAAACACATAAACAGATTCCCTCGGAACGAAAAGTAACTGTTTCTTGTTCCTTAGTTAAGGAAAGTTCTTAGTTGAGAAAATTCACTTCCTGGCAGCTCCTATTACTAGAGTTTACAGGCTAAATGAAAGCAACAATTAAGTTCAGAATGTTGTTTTTTTTTTTGGAATGAAAGAAAACCTTATGACGTTGGAGCCTGAGATTCAAATACTTTCCACATCCCCACCCTCTTCCACAATCCTGGATCCTTACAGCTTCTGGCCAGTTTTTCACATGACTAATGCTACACTTTTTTATTCAATAAAAAGAAAAAAAAGTATTATGGACTAGGGTGCAATGAAGAGTTCACAGAATTATGAACATTCTGAAAATGTACAGGCCAAAACAGGTGAATGGTTCATTCCTAGTTCATGCCTGTATCTACTGAATCAGACCATGGACTGTAAGACTTCAGTCCTTGAGAGTGTAAATCAACACAAGCAAATTATCTACAAATCAAATCAACAACAGATGAACAAGTTCAAGTTCATAAAATCTTTGAAAGATGTTATCTTGAAGCAAGTTGGCTTGTAAACATTTACAGTAACACATGCAAATATTGTGTACCTCCTCCCTGAGTTACAATAATTGGACTTAATAGTGGAACACATACAAAGTTAAAAATCCATACCTTTATGAGTTGCATTAATTCAGTAACAAGTCTTGCTTTTTGGTTATTTATTTCTTTGACCTTTACATCTGCCTGTTTAGATTGGTCCTCTAAGTCGATAGCATCTTGTTCCAGCTGTCTTAAACTATGGGAGGAATCAATATTTGATTAATCCTGATTAAAAATAAACTGTAAACAAATACAAAAAAAATTCTTTATCTTGGTGATGAAGCAACAGTCAGCAACAACAGGAATCTGATACCTAAATATTCCAAGCCCATTAAAGACATCCCCAATCTATGCACTTTAAACCTAAGAAATTCAAAAGACAAAAAAAAAAATCATAAAGAAACTGATTTTAGCTACTAAGGCTATCACTCACCAACCACAATTCTTTACTTCTGTAGATTTCAGATTAAAAACACTTAAAAAAAAAATCTATGTAAGAATAACATTTTTCTTCTACTGCTAGCTCCTTGCAATGATACAACTTAGCAGAGTTCAGGAGGTTTGCTTAATTCTTGTTATATACGCTACCAAAAAAAACCTCCCATGTCCTTAGCTTACTGCAGAGAAACACAGTTTAAAATGAGTGAAAATTCTGAAGAACTTCATATGAAATAATAATGCTTAATGAGCTGCACAGCATTTGAAGATCTTTAAAAAATGGCCAAACAGATCAAGAGGATGATCCTGAAAACTACAAAATAATCGTTCTTTGATCCCCTTGGAAAACAATTGTAGGGGCATAAGGGAGGTGATCAGGAAGAAACAGCAAGCATATACCAAAGGTAATCAACATACCTAATGAATGCAATTGTAAAACAACCAGATAATGAGAGATCAAGTGGTTGCCATTTACTTAAGCTTTACCAAGGCTTTCTGTTAGGTTGTCTGATAAAAGCTCATCTACACACCCAAAAAGGAGAAACAGACAATAGCAGGTGGGGAAGCCCAAATAAAACCCTACCCTGGTTACCCCCAGGCCCATCACAGGAACCATCAGCCTGTGAAATTATGTCCCGGGGGTTCAGCTTTAACAGTTGTTTTTTTCCTTCTTAGTAGCTGGTGCAGTGCTGTGTTTTTGGCTTTAGTCTGAAAACTATGCTGATAACACACTGATAACACACTGATAAACAGCTGTTTTCAGTTGTTGCTAAGTAATGTTTACTCTGATCAAGGACCTTTTCAGTCTCATGCTCTGCCAGTGAGGAGGGGCACAGGAAGTCCCGAGGAAGCAAAGACAGGACACCTGACCCAAACTAGCCAAAGAGGTATTGCATACCCCAGCACATCACACACCCAGTATATAAACTGCAGGGAGTTACCCAGAAGGCCCAGACCACTACTCAGGTCAGGATGGGTATCAGTTGGCAGCTGGTGAGCAATTGTATTGTGCATCACTTGTGTTTATTGTTTTCTTTTTGTTTTCCCCCTTCAGTTTTATATTCTCTCCCCTTGTTATTTCCCTTATCATTATTATTGGTGGTAGTAGTAGTAGTGGTTTTGTACTATACTTTAGTTATTGGACTGTTCTAATCTCAACCTGTGGTATTTACATTCTTTCAATTATCTCCCTCTATCCAGGAGCAGCAGGGGAGGGGGGGGAACCACTGGCCCATCTCTGAAAGCCCAGAGGAGCACATGGGCACCTTATCAGGCACGACTCCAAATTAAGGACTCGAAGGAAGGAACACCCTGTCCTAGGACAGCTTCAGCTCCAGTGTTAAGGTGTGAAACTCAACAAAGAAAGTCAACACCACAGCATCCTCTGGACTGAGGATGGTTGTTTCCTGGGGGTATAGGAAGCACTATAGAATATAGCAGAAAAGCATGTAAATACCTGGCTGGTCCAGCCATGCCCAATTAGCACATTCCCTTTTAGTCAACTGCGTTTTTCACTCTTGTCCGGGGTGAGTGGTTCTCTATTCAGTGTACAAGCAACTAGTCAGATCATAAACCAGAGGAGAAGGCTTGCTTGTCTGTGATGCCAGCAACTGGAAAGGCCAGTGACAGTTGCTGGAGTGGGACCACAGTTAAGAGGCCAATGTGTCCATGGTGTCAGCACCTAGTACAAGTGCAGATGTGCAAGTTAATGTCTGATGCCTAGTGAAAAGCAGGCCAGACTAGCTATTAGGTGAAGTAGCCTGAGAGCCAAAGGGTGAGGCCCCAGGAAGAAATCAGGTAAGGGACCAAGCAAAGTCCAGCCTTGCTGCCAGAAACCATGAGATCTGTTGTCTCTAGAGGCAAAACCTGCTGGCATGTGTACATATTTAAAAGTAAAATGACAGGGGTACTGGTTATTGGGAGGCATTATGGGAGCCATGGTTACATCTGCTCATTTGTATGACTATGTGACCAGGGAGTCCCAACCAGTTCTGCATGCATTTGCACATGGGCGACCAGCACAGCTCATACAACCAACAGAAACAGGGCTGCAGCCTTGGGAGTTTGCATGTCCAGGTACCAACAACTGAGGAAGCTGAGGTCCAGGGACAAGTACTGTGCAGATTCAGTGTGTCTGGACCCAGCTGCTGATGGGATCCACACTGCCTGTGTATGTGTGTGTGGTACCCTCACTAGGGGAGTCCTGTCCTGTTCACACAGAATAGGAACATGATGAGTCCAGTGGTGCTGTGTTTGTCTGATTTCTTTATGAGTCCATCTGTGCTGTGTGGCTGGCCATGTGTAAGTATGTACGTAGCTGCTGTTTAGATGTGTTTTGTGTGACTGTGTCTACTGGGAAGCTTCAGTAGTGGTGGCACCTGGGAGCATTAAGTGGCCTTGGATCCATTTTGTCTCAGGCTGCTGGATCCACTCATTCCCCTTACTTTTTCAATGCTACCTCCCACAGTATTGTTGTATTCCAGTTAGAAAAATTCAGTCTGGGTAGATAGAAGACTATAGAGGTTTAAAAAAAAAAAAAAAAAGTGGTTGGATGGTCAGGCTCAGAGGGTCACGGTTAGTCTGTCATATTCTGTCTGGAGTCCAGCATCAAGTAGGATGCCACAGCATTAAGTCCTGGGACCTGTCCTGTTTAACTTCACTGGCAGTGATGAAGAAGCAACATTCTGGTCAAGTTTTCAGACAACACTATACTGGGGGGAGCAGTAGGCCCGCCTTTCAGAAGGGCCTGCTGAGGCTGGAGCAAGGGGGTTCACCAAAGGCTCATGAGATTCAGCAAGGACAAACACTGAGTCCTGCCCCTGGGAAGGAAATGGGTCTGGCAGTGATACAGGCTCAGGACAGACTGGCTGTGGAGAAGCTCTGCAGGGAAACACTTGAGGTATTGGTAGCCAATGAACTGAGCCTAAGCCAGGAGTGCACCCTGGCAGCAGCCAGGTACCCCAGCATCCCTGGCTGTATGAACAGAAACACAGGCAGAAGAGCGATGTTTCTTCCCTGTTCAGCACTGCACCTAGTTTATCCCCCTGCCCAAACCGCAACCAACTGGAACAAATTTGGAAAGCAACCAATATGGTCAAGGTCTACAGCACATGCCCTGCAAGAAAAGGATGAGAGCACTCAGCTTGTTCTCCCTGGACAAGAGACAGCTTCAGGACATCTAATAGCAGCCGCCCACTCTCCTTCCCACCAGGAAGCCACTCACAGGATAGAATCAGGCTCTTATAAGAGGTGTGCAGTGGAAGGATGGCAGACAGTGGATATAAATTGAAATAAGAAAAATCCAGACAATGCCAGCAGAAACTTCTTCCCCATAAGGACAACCAAACAGTCAAACAGGATGTCCAAACAGGTTGTACAATCTCCATGGAGACTTTCAAGATGCAGTCGGATACAGCCCTGAAAACCTGGTCTGAATTCAATGTTGCATTGCTTTGAGACTACAGACTATATGAAGCCCCTTCCAAACTAAGTGATTCTGTCATTGTGTGTTACTTTCAAAATTATATCCAGCTTTATTCAGATATCATATCAATTAGAAACATGAGTATTTGAAAATAGTTATGCTCAGTGTACAGATTATTTAAATAATTTCTGCATAAAAACATCCACATTATAGAAGAAAATGTGTAACAACCTTGTCTGTAATTGTGCCACGATTCTTACCCTGATTCAAAATTAAAAGAGTGCAATTATTCTTTTCAAAGGGAAGGATTTAACTGATGTTCGTTAAGTCAAAGGGTCCACCTCCTGCCTCCAAACCATATTTTGTATTATAGTTAAACACCATGACAATACATGTATCCCTAGTAAGAAACCTGAAAGCAGTACTTGGCTTTGCAGCTGCACTCACATTCACACTGTTTCAAGATGGTTTTTTTCCACAGCAACCTGGACACTGCTGACTATACAGCAGTTGAGTCTGGTCCCTCTTCACGGAAGAAAAGCCCTTCTTCAGTTTAATGCACTGTAAGTAATGCAAGAGCTGTGCACACAAGCATCAGCACCAACTTCCAGAAAAATAGTGTGGCCTAAAAACATAGAGTATTTGAGGTTACAAGGTCTGCTGGGACTGGGTTAAGGAGGGGAGGGCGCAAAACCTAAGGCAATCTCACCTTCACTGCCTTCTGGGAGTGTGAGCTTAAGTGGAATACATCTTGAACCATGCCCAGGTTCTCACTTATGACAAAACAGTAACAGAAGAACTAATTGCAGAGGCCCACAAAACCAGAAAATACGTTTAGACAAATAATGCTGTCAGGGTCCAACTCAATCCCTGACATGCTTACTTAGTATCATTTATGCCCATTATAGTATTATCTTGACATGTGCCACCAAGACTATGACAATATTTATGTAAATGCTCTCTTACTGGACTTCTTTGATTTTATTACAGGAAACCATTTGGAACATTATTACATGGTTTCTCAAATACTGTCTTAATCTCCACTTCTAAACACCTTTTGTCTTGATTACCACCTGTATCTGATGCTGAACTACTGGCTACTTTGTAAAGATAAAAGCACACTGCAATAAGAGGAAGCCAAATACCTTTGTTATTAAAATTGTTAATGTTTCACAGATAATATGGCTTGTTTCTTACCTATCATATTTCACACTAATTTTTGATTCCAGCTGTCTCCTCCTGTTTCCTTTCTCTAAGATTTCCTTCTTCTGCTGCCTGAGCTCGTTGTCTTTGTGTTCCAGATGCTTCTGTTTCTCCAGTGATTTAGTCAAACGCACATCCAATGTCTTTAATGTATTATTGATATCCTGAAATAAAAGGACACCACTAGCATTCTTACTACAAACATACCATATTAACACATTCAAGTAGACTATGTTTACTGTACAATAAAATGGATAGTACTTCACATCATGTACAACACACAAAGAAATCCCTACCTGTAGCTGCTTTTCCAACTGTCTCCTTTCATCTGTATCCACTGAACTAGTGAGAAACTGTGCTGCCCTCACAAATGTGTTGGTAGAGAGGGGTAGGTTTGTATAAGCAGATATTTTAACAACATATTTTTCTTCTGCTGTGTATATCTGCCTAAGTTTGGTTTCTTGTATGACCTAAAAGAAACATACAAAAATATTAATTTGTTAAAAGCATTATTTGTGGCAATGCTCGTTCAGAACAAGAAATTAACTAGCTAAAATCCACAGTAAAGAACTTCAGGTTATCAAGACTTGTTAACAAGAGTTGTTAACAAGCATTTGCAAAAAAAAAAAAAAAGATGCTAAATTTAATATATCATGATAATTTTAATCCATGAAAACTGCAGTTTAAAGAGAAAAATGCTTAGAAAAGAAAAACGTTAAGAGCTTTTCATGTAGGACTCCCTTTACTTTTACTTCCCTCTTTCTCATTCTTAGAGCCTCAGAAACACAGCATATAGGAAGGAGGAACAGCTTTCCCAGTAAAACAGGAACTGTTCTCTGTTCATAAAGCCTGTTCTCTGAGCTTCTCAAAAAAGCAACTCTTGCTGCTCTCAGCGATCCCAAAGCATTTCTGTGTTCAAAGAAGAGTTCACTTTCTGTACAAGATACACAACAGATGGCCAGCATAGACAAAGAAGTGAATGAGGATTTAAGCTGAAAACTGTCATGTGTGTTACTCCATTGTAACCCGGCAATGATCAGCTTGCAATAATCCATAAAAGACTAATGTAGAGATTGCTCCTGGTCAGAGCTCCTACCCTGTTTCTGTGAATCCAAAAAGTTTATATACTACTTATTACAGCAACTCTGACTGAAACTATACAACTGTATTTGCAGAGAAGGAACATCATAATGCATTAATAAAAAAAAAAAACAAAACCAAAACCAAAAACCCATACCAAAAACCCATCAAAACCAGGCAGCTTCTAATTGTTTTGTTAAACACAACAGATCAAAACTGTCATGTACAAATAACTGTCGGATTAAAATTTGCCCAGAATCTCAGGCACTTAAAGTGGAAGTTACAATAAAACAATTTCACATAACTGACTTGGAACAGTTTATTTGAACTTGCAAATAAAAGATATATTTAACTTTTTATGAAGTACTGCATCAGACGGACTGGATTTGTTAAAAAAGCCTTGCAATGTTTGAGTATGATGAACTGTTCTCACCTCTAAAGGCCAGATAAAAGGCTAAAGCAATTTTCTGCTTTCTCCACATTAATTTGCAAGAGAATTTTTGAAAGAAAAACTCTAGACCACAGGCATGTTTGTGCTAATTAGGACATCTCACCCTGTCAATCATGCTTCTGGTCTTCTCTGTTCCCACAGGGACATCATGAACACGGTACTGGGAGCAAAGATAATTCATCACAGGATGAGGAGCATCAAATAACTCTCGTAAATATGAGAAAAATCCGTACCGGCTGAAAGGGAGAAAAAACCCAACATACATCAGAAATAAGAGTTGGCAGATAAGCAAGCTTAAGTTATTGAAGGGTCAAGAAAGAAGTCCTGCTAACTCAGAACTGAACTGGTGAAAAACTTATTTGCATAGATAATTCTAATATATAGTAACAACCCCAAAACACTATTTAAGACCTCTCCCCACTGATACAGACTGATACATACTGCAATTCTTCAATAGGTCTCGAAGGTAAGTTTTCAGCACATGATTCAGCAGGTGCACATACAGCATTCACTCTTAGTTTCTGATGATCACGCATCTAAATATAGATTACATTTAATTATTTGGTAAAACAGACTAGAAAAAATCACTATATGAAAATCAAGTATTGTTTCTTGATTACAGAACTGGAATTATTTTAAACTGACCACCTGCTGAAAAGCTCACAAAAATTCACTCTCATTCAGGCATGGCTGAGTTCTCTAAAAGCCAAGTGCAGTTAATGTTTCTCCATGAACATGCCACATACAGGAGAAAACAAAAGCAATCAAACAAATCTACAGCCAGGTGCTCAGTCTAAATGTCAAGCTGTATGTAATAAGGGATGCCCCCTCTTTCAGGCTGTGTGGCCATTTTGCAGAGACAATGTCAGACCACTGGGTACAGAGGCTCTGAAAACCCTGGTCCTCACAGGGTAGAAAAGATTGAGGATACAGAAAGATCAGTTTAGCTGTCTAAAGCCGCCTTGCACTGTGTTCCACAACCATGGAGGAAAGGCAAGTTCTCAGATATCACCACTACTGTTCACATATATAAAAATGGCTAGCCTCTTTGAAGAGCAGACAGGTCTACAAAAATTGCATGACAGTTTGTCATTAATCACACAATGCTGTAGACAACAGCTGGGAAGTAATATGACAGCTAATATCGTATCTTGTGGCTTTTTATTTCTGCACCATCTGCCTGGATCTCAAAGGGAACTAGCTCCTTATCGCTTCAAGAAACAGCAATATTAAGAAAATAAAAGCTTGATTTGCTGCTTGGACCATTGCAGTCTCACAAAAGACATCCCCTCACCTCCTAACTTAGGAGGCATTGGAAAAGCTTCGTACTAAATGTGTATCTTTCTGCTTTTGTCATTTTCTTGTACAAAAGTGATTATTGCCTTGTCAAGGAAGACAGAAGTTATTTCTAAAAGTATGTTCTTAATATTCCTGCTTTCCCCCAGTTGGTCTAGGCTTTAAATAAATAATAATTGAAAAAAATCTTACTCCAGAAGAAAGCTTTTGAATACTATGTATTAGCTATTATGTTCACCTTGCCAATCAAAACTTAGTAAGTACAGACTTAATTGGTAGACTCCAAAGCTTAGGGCTCCTGCAACAGCACTTAATCAGTTTTTAAAATTGGTGCCTACTTGCCTCCACAAGAAACATTTCCATATCTTGTTGATTCTCAAAAACAAAAGCCCTCATGTCATTGGCCGAAATATGATTTTCAACATATTTAGCATGTTTGTTGTCTTTCATATTGATCTGTTAAAGAAAGTTAATGAGAAAATTATTTAATACAATTGGACTTAACACCCCCCTCAAAACATTTTAAGCAGTCAGATGATATCCAAGCCTATGTTTAACAAAACCAAACACAACGTTTAATGTTTTAAAAGACATTATTCCCTGTCCTTCTGCATCCAGTTCTACTGGGAGGAAACCTACAGTAACTCATACATCACTGTGTTTGTTTCTTAGCCATCTGTATACTTTTTCAGCATTCCTGGAGCTATCACTGTTTCCAGCATACCATCTCTCCCTCTTCTGCACTGCCCTTACCTTACAATTGCAGCCACAACCATCTCATCTCAACCTTCTCTAGTGGTTCAGCACCAGTACTAGTGAAGGTATATCTCACTGTTTAGAAACGATTAACCTAAGGAATGAAAAATCCCCAGAAAATACCACACTCCACAAATCATTTATATGCAGTTCCCTTTCATTTGGACATAGTCAACATCACCAAATACAACTACAGAATTATGAAGTCCTAAAAAGACAGATTCACAGATGGATTATCTTTGAATTCTTAATAAATAAATTTAAAAAATTCCACTTTTAAGATGAAGTTTTTCATATCTGAATTAAATGTTACAATTCCTTAGTATCTCTCTCTAGTAATTAGACATTATGTCACTATACATGACAGAGGCAAAATTACACAGAACTACACAATTTAATACGCTGAAGTTAATCAAAGTCTATGTACACTTTACTAGCAATTTTAAAGCTACAGTTTGTATGTACCTGAGACCAACTTACAACATCTCAAACAAAAGTTGGGCATTAGTGGATGAGACAGAGGTTAATGAGGCCTTAAAGTAAAAGCAAAGGCAGACTAACAAGGCATTTGTAAAATTAATTCAATGTGGTCTTCCAGGAAGAACTGGAAGTTCTGGTAATAACAGGAAATATTTGGCATTTTATAATCAAGAAAAGTAATCTGGAATAGTTCTAGCACATGCACAAAGTATAAGAATTGGCATAAAAATATTCAACATTCAATTTAATTTAAATTGTAGCAATATACTCTTAAAATTGCAATTCTGAGGAAGAGGAGGAGTGTGCTGGAGTTTCTCACCCTCTTCACATTGCCTGGAGGGCCACTGCAAGTGGCTGAGATAATGGTGGAAGAATGCACTAGAAAGCCAACAGCCTCTCTGAAAATTTAGCCATGCTATTCCCAGCTACTACAGCATCTCTTGAACCAAAACACAAAACTAGCAATAGGTCACATATTTCTGTGTTCATAGCTGGGTGTACAAAGCAAACCACAAACACACCTGAGAATCACAGTGACACATTGTAACCATTGCCGAGAAGGTTGTGCTATAGCAGGAGATATTAAAATGTAAGTACTCCTGCTTCATTTAAGCAGTACATAAGAATTACTTAAGTCTAAATGACTGGATGCACCTTAGTGGAAATCTGCAATAGGCACCTTAATAAAGGACTGCTCCTTAGGGAGGGAGGAACTCAATGTTGAGTATTACTACCTATGTAATTGAAATTACAAATAGTTTGCCATGCTAATGTATCCAGCATGTAATCAGCAGCTCGCTTCAAGATGTGTCTTGAAAGTCTTGAAGTCATTCTTGAACTCTTGCGAGGCATAAAAAACCTAAATATTAACTGGTTAGAGTGATATGCAAATAAAGTTTCTTACTTCAAGCATCATGGGTTCACAAACTCTTTTTTGAAACTTGTCTTTATTCTCTCTTAGCCACATAAGAGCAGAATGCGTGTCTCTGAATTTCCCTTTAAGATTCTCTTCCTTCATATTCATTACATTATTAAGTTGTCCAAGGCGATCAATTATTCCTGTAATTTAAGGCAGTTTCTTGAGTCCACAGCAAGCACACTTTCTAACAAGCATTTTCCAGTGTTTACTGACTCTGTTACTCCAGCAGTAAGCTGGTTAGGGGAGCCTAAGAATTCAGAGTTTCTTTTCCCAATCAAGTTTTTGTTTATTCTAAAGAAATCTTAAGAATTATTTAAAGCTTAAAATCTAAAATATAATGAAGACTTACCTGAAAGATAATGAAATGTGTAGCACACTAAAAATGCATGAATTCAGTCCTAAAAATATCAAAAACTTGTTCTAGCTTTATATTTAAAACCAGAAACGCCTCAAGACTAAAGAGGGAGAGTGACTAGCAACATGAAGTCTCTGAATGTTATTTGATACTTGCAGAGAACACGATGTGTGACAACAGAACACTTGAGAAAACATTTGCTATTCAGAAGAAACACATATTGGATACTTTCTGTGCTTCTCAAAATATGTCTCCTTCCCTTGGTGACTTGGTCTCTCAGTGCCTCAGCTTCTGCTTGGATTCTATGACATTAAGTGCCATACACATCAGTATGTGCAAATGTACTATACTCACCAAGAATACATATACACCGCCTACCTGCAAGGCTACAATTTTTAAGTTTTATTTCTTAGAAAGAACTGATTGCAAATCCTAGGCTAGTATAAAGCAATTTGCTACAATTAAAGTCAGTTCAAGTTAATATAGAAAGGATAAAAGCGGCATCAGTAGCTACTAGAATGCCAGACAGACAATTTTAAAACACTGCATCTTCAAAGCAAATTGCCCTTTTTGCTTCAGGTTTGGGATAAATACGTTTTTTTGTACTAACCACACACACCTTCACTTAATAACAAAAAAAAGATCAAACTGGCAAAGCAGTATCCAGAAGAAATAATGTTCAGAAGGGTAGTTTTAAGGTCAATTGCCACAATTGCCATCCTCTTACTCTATTTTGAAAGCAGTTTCTGTTACTTTTAGTAAAATTGATAACAGACAAGAGGACAGCTGTACTTTAGGTAAATGCCCCAAATTATTTCACTACAGCAAGACAAGTAGACTCTGTACAGTCACAAAAAACAAACAAAAACCAAACAAACAAAAATTCCAAATAACTTACTCTTCTTTTCCCTCTCTTGGTTCATTTTATCTGCTGTTAGATCGGTGATATCACTATCAATAACTGCCCTTTCTTCTTGTAACTTTTTCAGGTCATTATTAATTGCATCAGTTTGTGGCTGAAGATCCTCACAGCCTGCCATTGTATTGAGCTCATTCTTCCACTCCTCTATCATCTTGTGAGTGTTCTGTATTTTCTTCTTTCTGTCCATTTCTTCATCCTTTTTCATTCTCAGACATTGATGAATTTCTTCAATCTAAGAATTTTGAGTTATTTCCAACATTACAGGAGTTTGGTATACAAACCTGTGACAAATAACTGTCGTGGTTTAAGGTATCTGTCATATCTGTGCGACTGGTATTAAAATCTAATGTAGCCATGCACTAAAACTGTTAAGAGTATATTATAGTTCTAATAGCCCCTGACAGTTGAAGAACTGGCAGGATTTCTTATGAGCACTTAAGCAAAAAACAGTCAAGCCTTTAAAGTAATTTTTGAATTTCTCATATTTTTACAAAAGCAGAAGTTTTAAGCTCAAGATCTTGCTTAACATGCTTGAAAGCTAAAGACTGCATAAAATTTATAGCACAAATACAGTGTGCAGCATGACTCTGCACATGTACACATTTAATTTATACATTTTTTTGACCGAGCGCTCGGAAGTGCTGTAACTGTTTCAGAACATACCTTTGCATTTTCTTTTTCAAAAATGCTGAAATGCTGGACTTATACACTTAACAGTAGCAATAACCCCAGCCTCTTAGAACATCTGGAAACATGTTTAATACTGAGTACAATACTGTACTGTAAGGGCTGTAGGTTTTCAAAGAAACCTACATATATATGTATATATATAAATACATAATATTCATACACACACTGTCTGTCCTAAGTTTGTGGCATCAAGGCAACTCATTTTATGTAGTATACACCTGTCCCTTACCTATTTGATTAACAGCTGTTTTAAAGATTGTGTACTGGAGGGAGTGAAGCGTGCAAGCACTTGCAGCCTGTTCAGAGGGATTTCCCACTCCGTTAACAGAAGAGCTGACAAACTCCTCACATATCTGTGTTTTATTGCAGAGTTCAAGAAGTAACATTCCATCTGAATGCAGCTATACCTAGTACTGAATTAATACATTAGTAAAGAAACACCAAAAAAGTAAAAAATATAAAGGCTCTTACTTGTTTATCTTTCAGGTCCAAAGCATCTTGTTTCTGTTTACATTTTTGAGAAATGTCTTTGATTTCAGCAGCCTGCATACGATGAGATATTTAAATTAGATAGTCATAGATTCAATTATATTTGTAAAATGCAGTCATATTTTACAGGACATTCTGCATATGCATAACTAAGCATTTATTCCACATTTTATTGACAAAGTCATACTTTCCTGTTTCCTCTTATTCTTACTTGCACCTATAACATGACGAACTGAATAACGGCTTATGAACTGTTCACAGCCATTTAACTACAGATCTGCAAATTCAGGCATGACAGATACTTAAAGTCTGCTAACCTAACCTCCATGGAGTAAAATAACTCCATTCTCAATTTTAATAAAAATGATACATTTAGATCATAACACTTACAAAATGTTCTTTTGCCAAAACCAGCTTTACCAGGAAAGAGCAGAGCAAGAAAGGCACAAATTCTTAGGCACAGGACAGCCAAAACAACTTGTCAAACCATACTAGTTCTGAAATGCCTTGTGCTAAAGGTATATCCTATGCTGCAAAGCCTGACAGCTTGTTGGCTCACACCTAGGCACCCATGTCTCTACTCTGTCTTTATCCTTCTCAGCTTCTACAGAGTTGTAGAATAATAAAGGTCAGAAAGGACTTCTGAGCATCACCCAGTCCCATCCCTTGCTCAAAGCGGTCTTCTGTCAGGTTGCCTACACACTTGTACAGCTGAGTCCTGAACACAGTGGAATTGTACTATGATTTCTCTATGAACTTAACTCCTCTTTCCCTGATCCCTCAAGGCTGAAAACAGTGCAAGCATAATACTGGAATGCTGCAAAAGAATGGAAGGACTGTAAGCAAATGCCAGTGCAGACACGGAAATAAACACACACAGCACTCTTGCTGGAAGAAATGTCTTTCTACAAACTGAGTCATACTGAAAGTGCTAAGATGCATCAAGAATTAAAAATGTGGAACTTTTTCCTCCCATAGCCTCAAAGATGCACAAAAAATTAAGACCCTCACTACAGCTATTTGCATGAAGGCAACATGGAACAATAGATCTTGATCTTGCAGCTGAATGCTATGCAGTACCGATTCTGTGCTGCTCTCTCCAAAGACCTTGGGCAGGCATTCTGAAGAGAAAGCTTTTTCTCAGGAAACTGGTGCAAAATATTCAGAAAACAATCCTGAAAGCCCTCAAAATGAGGACACTTGTAAGGAAGTGTTTTAAATTAAATTTTTAAATAATCATTATATTCTCAATTATATTTAGCTATACCACCCTTACAGAACAATTAACAACTGTAATAGTCTTCATGGTTTTCAAGTTACAACCACAATACACTGCTTTATACTGTCAAGTACTGTTAAAAGAATTGCACCACAGAGTCCACTCTGTCCAAATGCCATTAAAGAAGTAACGGCCACAAGCTGTGCCAGCGGAGGTTTAGGCTGGATATTAGGAAAGAGTTCTTCACTGAAATGGTGGTCAGGCACTGGAACAGGCTTCCTAGACAAGTGGTGGAATCACCATCCTGGGAAGTGTTCAAAATTCATGAAAATGAGGCCCTTAGTGACATGGTTTAGAGATGGCCTTGGCAGTCCTGGGGTAACAGTTTGACTCAATCTGAAAGGTCTGTTTCAACCTAGTTGATTCTGTAATTATGTCACAATAAAGAGGTTATAGCTTTACAGTTTAAAAACTGAACACAGAGCACATGAAATATTACATATGTTAACTGAGGACTTAAAATACCTACCTTATGTCTTATTTTCATATCCAGACTCTTAAAAGATTCTTCAGTTTCTTGGATTTTTTTTGTCAGTGGGGACTGCTGTTCTTTTAGATTCTTCAGCTCCTCCTTGGCTTGTTCTCGCATTTGTTTCACTACCTCATGCTGCTCACGAACATTTTCATATTCCTTGCAAGAGTTGAAAGTAAAACAATTACATACTTTTGTCCTCTGTTCCACTGCTTCATACTGCTAAACATTTTATTTAATTGTACACAAGTTTTATATGAAAAATCTCATTCAGAAGCTACTGTTACTAGTCTTATGACTAGGGAATGTAGGGATCATTCAGTCCCTAGTAAAAGAACACACACATTTAATCGTTTTTCAGTAATACGCAATTCAAGTAGGAGAAGAAATGACCGATTTGTCTGCTTTACCTTGTCTCTAAATCCGTCCGGGACTGCGTGGAAAAAGTAATTCCTTAGCCTCTTCTGCCTATAGTTTGAGCACTAGTTTAGGCAGAAGTCCTCAAGCTAAGGAGCAAATAACCATAGAAAACTCCAGGAAAAAGAAAAGGAAGGGGCTGGACAGATCTATCAGCGCCAGTAACAGATGTCAAACTGAGGTAAACCAAGGAGACAAATGGAGTGGAACATAACTTCAGGAAACAAAACTAAAACTCCACCATACACCATAAATACCAGAGAAGTCACTATCTAGTGAGTTTAACTGGAGATGCATTCCTAAGAACCTCCACTTCAAGGCAGGGTGAATTCGGGGAAAAAAAAGTAGTTTAGGCTGAAGGAGTCATTTGTCATGATTTTTTTTTCATGTCATGATCTCTGGAAGAAGAAATTAAAAACAAAACAAACAAAGAAGCAACCAACTGACAAAAAAAAAACACTAAAAAAATAAATCAAACAAAAAAAAGAAAAGAATACGACACTCAATGACCATTAAGCATTTATGAGAAAAAAAAAAAAGATACTCAGAGGACCAGAGGGAGGAGAAGCAGGCACATGAATGTAGCGGTACAGAGGAAGGGAAGGCTGTCGGATTTGGCAAAGCACTAGAGAAAGCCCCTAGTTTAGAGCATATGTCTTGATTATTCCAAGCTTTGGAGCATTGAAAAGATAATAAATAAAGATAGCATGCCAGCTCTATCTATCTGTGACAGCTAACTTTGCTTTTTCTGCTACCATTTTTTCCCAGTTAGTTATTTAATGACCCTGCTTGTAAACACACACAATTAATTGCAAATAAATGAACTTGGGCTATTAAACCCAAATTCTTTCTGCAGAGTTTCTTTGGCGTAAAAATACTAAAGTATTTGAAATAAGCTGCTGTAATTCCGTCATGTGGAGTACACTCAGTAGCCACCATTACAAAGCTAGAGGCAAAGCAATTATACTTCCATTTAGCTGATAGAATAAGCTAAAAATTTAGCTCTGCTCTAAATAAGGTATTACACTTCAAGGTCAAATCAAATGCACCCACATACAATTACACCGCATTTCTTCAGATATAAACTACACACAGGTTTCTTTAGAAATTGAAGTGACATGGTTTTAATTCAGCAAATCCATTTAACACTTTAAAAAAAACTGACTTTCACCAGACTTCTGTATTTTTATATCATTGATGCTTGTAATTATGCACTTAGCTAAAGAGCTGCAAAACCTCCATAGGATTTCAGCCCTCCATATAGATATTTGCACCTCGGCTATGTAACAAAGCTTCTCAATTGTGAACAGAACAGGAGGAAAAGAAGAATGGACACAGCTTGGTTTCAGAACTACATGTGCCCAGGGCATTTACAGCAGGCAGAACAGCACCTCCTGCTGCCATACTACCTTTAAACAATATACCTTATGGTATAAAGTACTACCTTAAACTTAAGCTTGGAAGGAAAAGAAACACCTTTTCTTTAAGGACCTACAAGGCCTATCTATGCTAGAAAAACTGCAGCTCCTTAAATTTGTTCACCAACTGTAGATGACACTATCATCTGATGGAAGCCCCATTACAGTACACAAAAAAGCATAAAACGTCCCTTAACTCCTTGAGCCCAAATATTTAACATTGAACCCCTAGGGTCCAATTTACGGAATTTAAAGCAGATGCTGAGAAACCTACTAGATATATATAAAATTGTGTATAAGTCTTCATATACAGAAGCAGGTGAACTGACTATAAAAGTACTCCTTAGGTGAAGGATAGTAGTCTTCAGAATAAAACCATAGTTCTACAGTGGTCAAATAGTAAAATAAGTGCAGCACTAGGCTTCCTCTTTTCCACTATGACCCAAGATACAACCTAATGCAATATTTCAGCTGACTGGTATTCAAGCTGCCTCTTCTCGATTTCGTAACATAGTGTAGTGTTTATGCATCTGTCTCCTGGCTGATTCGGAGGCCCACCCAGCTATTCTGTTTTGTTACAGAGGCAATTCTAAACACCTATGCAAGCCTGGTGTACAAGTATAAACCAACCTTACAGGGAGGATAAAGAAGAGGGAAGATCCACAGTAAGAAGAATTAACTTTTGTGGTACTCTCAACTCTAGTGAATCCAATTTTAAGACATAAAAACCCCTTTTTTCTTAGGATCAAACAGTTTAGGTCAGATGAAAAAGAAATATCCCGTTCTAAAAGAATGCATTTACTTAGAGAGCTTGGTATTTTGCAATACAGGTGAACTCCAAGTGATTCATCAGAAGGATTTGACAAACACAAAAGAGCAACAATTCTGTACACTGAAGATCACAATGGAATGCAAATTTTTGTTGCAGCCTGTAGCTCAAATATCTTCTTTCTAGTAAAACAATTATCTTGATGACCCTTGATTTGAACTGTAAATTACCCACAGGCAAGTGACTTCTGGTAAACAATCTGGTACACACTACTGATTCTGTACTACAAATTTGATCTTCACATAGGTGTCAAAGCATACTTGTTTTGACATTTTTGTCAGAACACTATTGTTTCTAGAGATTCAGTGGCCAGAAAGTTGAATTTCTCCTAATTGAGTGCAACCATCAAAAGCATTTAATATACATCAGCAAACTGTCCAGAAGACAGCTATGAAAGAGTAAGGTGTGAAGAAGTCTGTCTAAATTTGCTTAAGAAACATGTAATTAACAGCACTGTTCTCAAACTTACCGAAGGCAGTTTAACTGAGAGCAGAGTTCACCCCCACCAGTTTCAGATGACCAGTCAGAGTTGTCTATCTGCAAGTATCTTACACTAGAGATCAGTATCAGCCTACATTAAATATACAAGACTTGTATCTCTCCTAGTAAAATAACACTCTCTTGTTAACTAAGCCAGGCTAATGCACGTGTAGTAGGAAAAACCCACATCATTCAGGAAGTGTGGAAGTCCAACCCTAAAGACACAGAGTGCACAGCCCACCTTCTTAGCACCTACCAACATTCACCTATTCCTACTGCTGCTCCTACATCCCTTGGTCATTACCACAGAGGCTTGAAAACAGGGAAGGTACAACCCCCTGAATCCTGCTTTTCAAGATACAAGGGACAAAGTTTTTTTGTACACTCATGTGAGACTTCACTTATGTGCAAAACTTCAACAAGATAACTTACAAAAGTTTTCTGCATTCTGGAAGAAGCAAGTGGAACCACCTAGGCATGGCACTTCAATTAAGCCAGTTGTGTCTGCAAGGAGGATAAGGAATACTGCTCTTGGCCCATACTGCTGGCTCTCCTAAATGGCCAAACGGGCAGTAAGTACTTAAGTTACGTCTTAGGCAACTTCTTAAAGTCTATCTACTGGTGCTGCTAGGAAAAAGCGGCGGGTCGTAGTAGTAGGGGACTCTACACTGAAAGGGACAGGGGCAAGGATCAGGGATGTGGCAGAGAGGCTGCCTGCTCTAGTAAGTCCCACGGACTATTACCCACTTCTGGAGATAGATGTGGGTGCTAGGAATATAGATAGTAGTAGCCTGGGGAACATAAAGAAGGACTACAGAGTCCTGGGGGAGGTGGTTAGGGGCTCTGGAGCTCAGGTGGTCTTTTCATCAATTCTCCAGGGTACAGGGGAGGACCTAAAAAAAGCTAGGAGAATTAGCCAGGTTAATAACTGGTTAAAAGGGTGGTGTCATAGTCAGGGGTTTGGGTGTCTTGAACACAGGACCCAGGCTTGTAGGCCAGGCCTAGCGGGGGCTCGTGGAGCTGGTCTGATAAAGAAGGGAAAGAGCAGTTTTGGTAGGAGGCTTGACAGACTGGTCAAGGAGGCTTTAAACTGGATGTGTTGGGGGAGGGGGGCATCATTCCATCCCAACACACCCAGTCAGTTGCCAGAACCTATAATAAATGCTTGGAGCAATGTAGAGATATCCCAGCCTCTCCAGCCAATGAGACAGCTTCAGCTGGAGCTCTGCTCAGATGCCTCTATACAAATGCCCGTAGCATGGGGAACAAACAAGAAGAATTAGAGATGTGTGCACGTCTATGGGGTATGATATAATAGGCATCACAGAAACATGGTGAGATGGCTCCTATGACTGGGGTGTTGGAATGGAAGGTTACAGGCTCTTTAGAAAAGACAGGCCTGGCAGTCGGGGAGGGGGAGTTGCCGTTTATGTTAGGGATAGGCTGGAGAGTATGGAACTCTGTCTGGGGACAGGTGAGCAGTCAACAGAGAGTTTGTGGGTCAGAGTTAAAGGGAATATAGCTATGGGAGACATTACTGTGGGGATCTGTTACAGACAACCTGATCAAGGAGAACCTGCGGATGAAGCACTCCATAGACAGATAGGAAAAGCCTCATGCTCGCAGGCCCTTGTTCTCAACCCTGAAATCTGTTGGAAGGATGGTATGGCCCAGCACAAGCAATCCAGGAGGTTCCTCGATTGTGTAGAGGACAACTTCCTTCTGCAAGTAATAGAGGAGATAACAAGGAGAGGTGCCATGCTTGACCTTGTGCTCACCAACAGGGAAGGTCTCGTTGGAAATGTGACACTCCAGCGCAGCCTTGGATGCAGCGATCACGAGATGCTCAAATTTGAGATCCTCAGGACAGTGAGAAGAGCGTGCAGCAAGCTCACTGCCCTGGACTTCAAAAGAGCAGATTTTGGCCTCTTCAGGAACCTGCTTAGTAAGGTTCCATGGGATACAGCCCTAGAGGGCAGAGGGGCCCAAGACTGCTGGTTGATATTCAAGGATCACCTTGAATGCTGCAAGCTCAGGAGTGTTGCAGCCCAACCAGAAGGAAGTGCAGCAGGAAGGCCAGGAGACCTCCTTGGATGGATAAGGAGCTCCTGAGGAAAATTCAATTGAAAAAAAGAGGCTTATAATAAGTGGAAGCAAGGACAGGTGGCATGGAAAGAGTACAGGGATGTTGTCTGAGAAGCTAGGGACAAGGTTAGGAAAGCTAAGGCCCAGTTACAATTAAACTTAGCTAGAGGCATTAAAGATAACAGGAAGGGATTCTACAGGTACATAGCAAATAAAAAACAGACTAGGGAGAATGTAAGCCCCCTCAGGAAGCCCTCGGGAGAAGTAGCTACACAGGATTTGGAAAAGGCTGAGGCTCTGAATGACTTCTTTGCCTTGGTCTTCACTGGCAAAGGCTCTGACCAAAGCAAAGTCTTGGAAGGCAGATGCAGGGACTGTGAGAATGAAGACCTTGGGCCCACTGTAGGAGAGGATCTGGTTCCAGACCATCTTAAAAATCTGGATGTGCACAAGTCCATGGGTCCTGATGAGATCCACGGGTCCTGAAGGAGCTGGCAAATGAAGTTGCAAAGTCACTGGCCATCATATTTGAGAAATCATGGCAGTCAGGTGAAGTTCCCGATGACTGGAAAAAGGGAAATATAACCCCCATTTTCAAGAAGGTGAAAATGGATGACCCAGGGACCTACAGACCAGTCAATCTCACCTCTGTGCCTGGCAAAATCTTGGAGCAGCTTCTCCTGGATGGCATGCTAAGGCACATGAAAAACAACAAGGTGCCTGGTGACAGCCAGCATGGCTTCACTAAGGGGAAATCCTGCCTCACCAATTTGGTGGCCTTCTATGATGGGGCTACAGAACTGATGGACAGGGGTAGGAGTTGATGTCATCTACCTGGACTTGTGTAAAGCGTTCGACACTGTCCCACACGACATCCTTGTCTCTAAATTGGAGAGACATCAATTCGATAGGTGAACCACTGTGTGGATAAAGAACTGGCTGGATGGCCGCACACAGAGCTGTGGTCAATGGCTCAATGTCCAGCTGGAGACCAGTAATGAGCGGTGACCCTGAGGGACTGGTGTTGGGACCGGTCTTGTTTAACATCTTTGTTGCTGACATGGACAGTGGGATTGAGTGCGCCCTCAGCAATTTTGCCGATGACACCAAGCTGCGTAGTTCGGTTGATACACTGGAGGGAAGGAATGCCATCCAGAGGGACCTTGACATGCTTGTGAGGGGGAATGATGTCAGCCTCATGAAGTTTAACCATGACAAGGGCAAGGTCCTACACCTGGGTTGGAGCAAACCCAGGCACAGCTACAGGTTGGGCAGAGAAGAGATTCAGTGCAGCCCTGCAGAAAAGGACTTGGGGGTGTTGGTTGATGAGAAAATGAACATGAGCAGGCAGTGTGCGCTTGCAGCCCAGAAAGCCAACCGTATCCTGGGCTGCATCAAAAGGAGTGTGACCAGCAGGTCGAAGGAGGTGATCCTGCGCCTCTACTCTGCTCTCGTGAGACCTCACTTGGAGTATTGTGTGCAGTTCTGGTGTCCTCAACATAAAAAGGACATTGAACTAATGGAACAAGTCCAGAGGAGGGCCACAAGGATGATCAGGGACTGGAGCACCTCCCGTATGAAGACAGGCTGAGAAAGCTGGGGCTGTTCAGCCTGGAGAAGAGAAGGCTGCGTGGAGACCTCATAGCAGCCTTCCAGTATCTGAAGGGGGCCTATAGGGATGCTGGAGAGGGACTCTTCATTAGAGACTGTAGTGACAGGACAAGGGGTAACGGGTTAAAACTTAAACAGAGGAAGTTTAGGTTGGATATAAGAAGGAAATTCTTTCCCATTAGGGTGGTGAGGCACTGGAATAGGTTGCTCAGGGAGGCTGTGAATGCTCCATATCCCTGGCAGTGTTCAAGGCCAGGCTGGACGAGCCCTTGGGTGATATGATTTAGCGTAAGGTGTCCCTGCCCATGGCAGGGGGGTTCGAACTACATGATCTTAAAGTCCTTTCCAACCCTAACGATTCTATGATTCTATGTAAGCAAATAATAAAAGTTAGGCTAAGAACAGTATTTCAAGACTTGACCTATTTGCACCAAGCAATTGTAATGATGTTCAAATTTCCAATATTGCAGTATTAGGAAAAACGGTTTTTATAAGAAAACTTCTGAAAAGAAAAGAAAACAAAACAAAAAAACAACAACTTACCACCCAAGGCCTTTTCCTCTCAAGCATCTCAATTAAGTCTAGATGGCGTTTGCGCTCATGGTATCTCTCAACATCTTGCTTGTATCGTTCAACCCTCTGTTTCATCTTCTCCAAAGAGTTAGCTTTGTCTCTGCACAAGTTCTGTAAGAATGTATGTTTTCATGTTTTAAAACATGTACTTTGTGAAAACACTTTTCAGAAATAGTCTACACCTCACATGTATATTAAAGCAAAAATTTAACAATAGAGAGAACATTTTTGTAAATCAGTAATCAGAGGGGAACAACCCAACTAGGAACAGTTGCCCAGCTTTTGCAAGTGTATTTAGCACATAGTTTCTGTGAAAACAAATCTAATTTGAACAGAAATTTTAAGTTGAAGTTTGTTTTTAATTTTCTCAGGAAGTTACTCCCTACAGCCTCCATTAATCTACTAGTTTCTAAAGCATCATAAGTGTTTTTGATATATATAAGTAGCAAAAAGGCTTGTGAAAGATCTTGCAGAAATTTGTACAGAAACATTAAGGTCGTTATGAGAATGTGTATGTAAAGTGCAAATGCATGCGTGGACACTAGCACAAGAAAAAACAGCAAAACAAAGGATTACAAGAATGGCCTGTATGGCTAACAACAGACACCATTCCCAGCAGTAACTGCATGGAACACATAAATTCTGCAAAGACCATTAAGCCTGCACTCGGTTAAGATCACAGTACAAGTTACTGTCAGGGAAAGAGCCTGCATCCTAACACCAGGATGGCAACAAGGTTGCAGCTCACTGCATTCCTTCTCCCTTATCCTCTTTATCTGTTAATAATCCAAACTAGGAAAAACAGGTAACAATTTTGTCTGTAATTTACGGAAGTTGAAGTTAGCAAGATTAAAGCAAAGGATCACAGTATAAGAACTGGTGATTCTGAAAAGCCATAAAAGATCTGTCCAGAAAAGCTGTTGTCAGTCAAGAATCACAGAGAAGTGATCAGTACTTGATAACAGGCATCCCTTGTCATCTGTGTCCAGACCACTTGCACACATATGTCTTCATGCTTATGAGCATGTGAGTGTTGGAGTGAATGAATTAAAAAGATGAGCATGATTTGATAAAATAAGCTTTCCACAGACTTTGTAAATAAGGACTACCTTCTAATTCTGTAAGACATCCTGTTACAATTTATGATGCTAACTTTCCTAGTCATTGCTCTCTAATATACATGTTTACCTCTAGTTCTCTTTCTTTTTCTCTGAAGTTTTTCAGTTCACAGTGAAATTGGTACATTTCTGGAGGGCCAATGGATTTTTCAGTGGCTTCAAGCAACTCAACCTTACTCAGTTTTGCAAATTCTCCAACTCTGTCCTAAAAAAAAAAACCACAAACAAAAAACAAAACCCACAAAAAAAACAGTAGCAAAAAATACAGTACTAGTTAAGACAGTGCAATACAATAATACTGGATTTAAATATTTCAGTTTACTTATGAAAATAACCTCACTTATACCTCTGCACCAGACAGCTCTGACATAGGATGATCCTCTCATAGACTAGCAACCAAAACCTCCTCAACATTAGTAAGAGTTTTTGGAGCTGTTCTGGAATGATTCAAGCTTGAACCTTAGCTACACCGGCTCTTTGGCAGCTTTTGAGGGTAGCTGTGGAGAACACGGGTTAGCTCATTATTTTTGAATTGGCTATCATTCTTCTGAACAAGACAATCTAGTACAGACAATTAAAGGTTTTATTCAACTGTATTTTTAAAATTGGTTCTCAGGCTCCACCTTCCCACTATGAATGCTATGATTAACATAAAAGTTAAACCATAAAGAAGTTAACATTAAGGCTGGAAGCCAAGGGTACCAGGAAGCTTTGCTACGGCCTCTGTTGCAGCTATAGAGTTATCTAGTAGAACTACCTCCTGTTTTATGGAGAAAGACATTCAGACAACTCTTCCACTTCAGAATCCAAGCCTGAGGAACTGACTGGAGATAATGAGAGAAAAGTGCAAGCAGGGATTGACTGGGAAAGTCAGGGATGCAGGACTATAGGAACCATGAAGGTAAAGGTACAAGAGAGTGCTAGACCTCAAGACATCTTAAAAATTTCCTTACAGATCAGCTACTTAAGAATATCCCTAGAGCAGCACAGACAGGACAGAGAGATACCACAGTCAGTGCTGACACTCAAACACTAACATGGGAAACATCAGCAGTTTTCCTTTCACTGTCAACAACAGTTACAAAACCTGCTCAACTAGTGAGCCTTAAAGGTCACATACTTCTCCTTTCTTTCACCATCACACCAGTATGTCTACCTCATCACTTCCATTCTTTGTGCTGTCCCATAAAATTGCTGAAGTGCTACAAAACCTAAGAAGCACCAAAACCTTCTCAAAACACAGCGCTCCATTTGCACCATCTTTCAGAAGTCATTCATACCTGAGGAAGAAACTGGCACAAATTGTCCACCTGGATGTTTAAGGCTGCAATCTGCTCTTCTACTGTTTTCAGGGTTGTTGGCTTTCTGTTGATAAACCATGCTGATGCATTGTTCACCACATGAATCTCTCGTGTGATGACGATATTTTCAGGTGTCTTAGACCTGATTAATAAAAAGGAGTGCTTACACTTTTGAGAATACACAAAAGTTACTGTCAAAGCATGTCAGACTTACAGTATTAAAACTTTTAGATAGCTAAATATTTAATATAAGTTAACTGGACAATAGCAGCAGATTCACACTTTGTGCCTTGGAAAATGTCTAGTTCTTCAGTGGTAAACTAATCTCACACACAAAACATCAAGAGCATCTGCACATCTTAACTCAGAGGAAGTTATTTATATAAATTACATACTCCTGCTGAAAGTACAAGCCACTGTTACAGATGTGCATAGTTTATGTAAGAGTGTACTTTTTTCTATGCGATGAAGTTCTAAAATTGGGATGCAGGAGGTGCATATTGAAGCTAGACATTTACATATTAGTGCACAGAACTATATCAACAGCCTCCATTTGAGAATAAAAGTAGTATCATACAGTGAAAAATACTAATTTGTTTTCATTTTCTGCTTTTCAAGAACAGCAAGCATGCATCAATTGTACACTTAATTCTCTAGCTCAATAGTTACCTTCAAAAATTGTCTGGTTAAGATACATCAATAACAAATGAGCAGTGAGACAGTCAACTCTTGAGAATTTTGACCGCTATTTTGATTTAGAAATCGTCTAGTACCTGTTCAATCAGCATATTGTTAAAAACGGAGGATAAGGGCTTGTAACAGTTTGGCAGCCATGTACCTTAGGAGACTTAAGGACAGCAGTCAAAGTAGAAGTAATTCAACAACTTCCAGTGTTTGCAATAAGTACCACAGGGATATGAGCCTGCTTCTTGAAGACTCTATGATTATTTCCTCATAAGTGCTTACTACCTTATTTTAATATTCCAGACTTCCTTCAAAAGACCATACTCATTTCTTTTATCAAATTAAGGAATTTTTCTCTTATTTCAGTTGTGATGTTTTCAGTAAGAATGAAGAGGAGTCCCACATACCAGCAGTTGCAGTATACGAAAGGCAGAACATTTGTTTTTAAAATTTAGACTTTGTTTTTTTCCTCTTCAAACATAATTTCTAACCACTACATCATCTGAATCATCTGAACATTAAATGTAAGCAAAAGCTAAACACACCACATATATTCATCTTTAGAGATATATTCTTTGTACATCAAGACATGGTAAAATGCTTTAGAAAGTGAAATTAAGACCAGTCACCACTGCTTGTTTACTGTTCAACAATTATTTAACCCTAAAATACTGAAGTCTGCATAAAAAAGTAAATCACGGACATAAAGACAGACCTCTGAACATCAGGTTCTTTTTCACAACTTTTTGAATGCCTATGTGAGGAAATAATCTCATTAAAAATACATGAGGAAATACAGTTTTACTACTTACAGTTCAATTTCTACTACACCTTTCAAGCATCCCTGCTTTACAAAGAGACCAACCTACAAAGTTAATTACAGAAGTAATTATTGCAAAGTAACTATATTACAAAGTAATCTCTTACAAAAATACATATTTGAATCACTGAGTTGCTGTTGTAGGATATTTTATTGAAAATTTACAAATAAAATCTTCCTCAAAGGTTTACAATTTCTGATCTATTTCAACCTCTAAAACTGAACCAATTGTAATCAACAGATCCACGGAGAAGAAGAAGTTCTTATGAATTCAAGGATCAAAGAAATACAAATGAAAGAAATTGCCAAACATCCGCATTAAGAGAACTGCCCATTCTAATAGTTTAAAAATATGTAAATATGACAATAAAAATGCCAGTACACAGTGCTGCCACGCAGTGAATATCCATATCTACATTTGCTCAAAACTACGCTGTAACCAAAATATGCAGAGATATTTAGGTACCCAGATTTGGTGCTCCAAAGATCTACTGAAATATATTATATCCAACCAGAACAGCCAAGAAAGCAAGAAACAAAACTTATAAAATTGACAAATAAAAGCTTCCTACTGTAAAGTCAACACATGATCTCTTGGGAGAAAAAAAAAAATATAAAATTTAAAATAATAGTAGGACAACTCAAAACAATCCAACTTCCATTTAAATCAAAGATCAGCAGCTTCGTGATTTCAGATAAACTCTAAGACAAGTTAAGAATACGTTATTTCTACAGATTCTATTTACTTGGAAATTTAAGTTAGACTTTTTCTTTTTTTTTTAATTATTTCTCCTTTAGTTAGTATTTTGGATAAAATGTCATTTATGCATTAGATGGCTTTTTTGCACCCAACTGTGGGTGCTTAAGATATCTTCAAATACAACCTCCAGTTTACTCAGGCCCCAGTACAATTTTGGCATTTCCACTTCATAATTCAGTCAAGAGAACAAGCAGTTAAGTAAGAGAAAACCCCTTTGGAAAAGCCTTCCCAAACCTCTCTGGAGCAGGTTATTCTATAGTTTAAACACCCCACTTTTTATAAAAATAAAGCAAATGAAGGAAGACAGTCTTTTCCCCCCTCCTCTGCTGGAGAGGACTCTTAATGAAATTCAGATTAAACATGAAAATTACATAAATTCATAGCTACCTTATCAGCTCGCCCTATGAAAGAAGGCTTTCCAGCCAGTCCCAGACAGATGGCACAAACAATGCTTGACTTTCCTGTTCCATTAGCCCCTACAATCAAGTTCAGATTGGGTCCTGGATGTACTTCACAGGTGTCGTATGTTCTGGAAAGCACAATAATTTCTTGAACATTACAAACACTATGTCACCTTAGAAAGAAAAATAAACAAGCAAACAAAAAAAACACACCAAAAACCCACAACCACCGTCAACAACAAAAAACCACTATAACCAACACAAAAAAGAAAACAAAAAACATCTGCTTGCTTAAAAACACTTTATGATTATATTAAAGATATTTGACAGATAATTTTACCAAATACTGTTTTGTAATAAAATCCCAGAGTGAAAACTAATGCTACAATGAAACACTGTGGAATACATTCCTACCAGAGTACTTACAACTTTCTTCAAAATGAATTATTATGAAGGATGAAACTCAGCCACATAATGACAATTTCTATTGTCTTCACTACGACATCATGTTATTTTACATGTTAAGTAAAAAAAAAAAAAAAAGACAGAAAATTGAAAATGGAATTAATTCAGTCAAGTCTGTTACATTTAATTCCAGCTGCCTGCTGCACTGCAGTTCACAGGAGATTCCACTCATCTAGCCTATACAATGCACTTGGGTCTTAAGCTCCGCAAGAATCCTGTGGAACTCCATCTTGATACATCACGCAATAGCTTTCTTGAGTTACAGGAACCTAAAAAATTAGCCTTTTATCAGTGATTTTCTAAAAATTATATTAGACATCTTTCATTGCGTGCATCCAGCATGCCTACTGCAACTACAAGACAGCAAGCCCCAGCACACAAACTCAAACTATTAATGTTTGTACGATAGTAACACCCTGAATTTATAGTGATCTCCATCATTCCATTGTCTTCCTGCACTAGACTAAACACACAGAGACAAAATGAGACACTAACCCCAAAGAAGAAAAAGCAGTTAATGGTTGACACAGTAACATAGTCTAGGTACTTCTAGAAGAGGTGTTTGAACCCTTAATGCCGAGGCTTAAACTACTATGTTTGAAGCTTCATTTGACATCTGTAGCATGACCTGTTAACTACACAGAACTGCTTTCAAGGCTGACATATAGCTATTTATGCCCCATGCCTGGAAGTTATATGTTAAGTTACAGCGTTATGCCGCATGGCCTCATCCCTCTAAGCCCTTCAGGCCAGGCTGGACAGGGCTTTGAGCAAACTGATCTAGTATGAGATGTCCCTGTCCGTGGCAGGAGGGTTGGGGTTAAATCATTTCCAAGGTCCTTTCCAACACAAATCACTCTATGATTTAATGATTCTGTCAGCACACCAGCCACAAGTAAAGAACCTGAAGGCTTCTACTAAGAAGTATAACAGCTCTAAATAGAATGGTATTCTTACTAACAACGAAGCTGAAGAAAGCATACACAAAAAGTAATGCCACGTTTTATTCTAATGGTTCCCAGGACCTGCTGGAAACTACTGCCTTATGAACATCTTCTGCACTCTTCCCCTCTTCACTGCTTGACAATCACGTAACTGGGAGAAAAAAATGCTTGCAGAGGCTAATACAAATAAGAACCAACACCTTCGGGGAAGAATGGCCGACACGACCACCAGCGGGAAAAGCACCCCCGCAGCGGCGACACTACACTAAGAGCCTACATGAGGCCAACAATCCAGACAGCTCTGAGCAAGGCATCACCTTCCCGGGAACACACGTTTCGCTTATTCCCTCTTCCAGCCCCCCCTCCCCTCGGTACCTAAGGCCTTATCAAGCCCCGCAGTTAACGGAGGGTGACACCGTGCTCCGTGCACCACGGCAGAAACCGGCAGCAGCGAGCGCGCTCCTGCCCCACCAGCCTGCTACGCCAGGTCTGGCCCTGCTGCTCTCTTAACCGTCAGCTCCCGGGCGCCAGAGGAGCGGGAGAGAAGCCGAGGTCGCCCAAACTAGCCACCGACCTCTGGGACGGCTAAAGTCCGTACGCCAGCGCTCACAGGCGCGCTGGGGCCAATGGCGGCCACTCGGCGGCCGCCAGCCAGGAGGAAAAACCGTCCGCCGCACACTCACAGGAAGTTCTCCATGAAGATCCTGACGATGGAGCCCTCGACGAAGCGGTGGCATTCCTTAGCGTTCCCCGCGGTCTCCTGGCTACCGCTGGCGCCAAAATGACAGGCATCCTGATTCCGCTTCTCCGGCACCGCCATTTTCCCCGCTCCGGCCGCGACACCGCGCCTCGCTTTCACTAGCAGGCAAGAAACGGCGGGCAGGTGAAGAGCGCGCTCATTGGCTGAGAGGGAGGGACTGAGCCCTACTGAAGCTTTTTATTGGCTTGCAGCACGCCATCCTCATGTCCATTGGCTGGAGGGGGGGGGGAGGGGCGTGATATGGGGCCCTGGAAGGAGGTTGGGGTGTTGCCATGGGTTTCAGGCACGGGGCACGCGGAGGCGGGAGCAGTAGCAGTAGGGACGTGCTGTGCCTACTCTGAGGCATCGCACGGCCTAACGGGCGTGAGGCGGGGCCTGGGCCAGTCCCGGCCGGTGGGAGGCATCCCCCCTTGCTTCGCTGGCCGTACGTCCCGGTGGGTACTGCGGAGGGAGGACGGCGTCTATCCGGCCCGCCTCCGTTAGGGTGCCGTGGAGCGGAGGGACTGTGCTGGTGCCGGTGACCACGGCCTCGGCCCAGTGCTTTCCCTCAGAAGAGGAGCGACCAGCACCGGAGCCCGCCTTTAGCGGCCTTCTCGGAGGCCCAAGGCTGGAGCGGGAGGGGGCTGGCCACCCGGCCTCTCGAATATCGCTGTCCGGTAGCCGCCTTTCTGCGGGGGCTGGCGGCAGACCCCGTGGAGGGAGTAGTGTAGAGGCGTTCCCACGAGGTGGCAGCACAGCCGAGAAGTCGGGCGGCCGGTGCTGCAGGCGTGGGCACCTTCTTGGTACCCCCCGTCTTTCACGAGTTCTGCGTGGGCTCCGGGCGGGCGAGCTCTCCTCGTTTTCATATTCCAGCACCTGTCTGAGTTTGTTTGCTTTTTCTTCGTTTTTAACGAAACAGTAGGAAAAGTATCTGTTCCTTCAGAAAGTCCGCACAAAGGACAGGTCCTATAGATCCTAGACGAATGCTTGTGTGTGAGATTTTGGCACCTTGACAGCTGGACGATCACCAGTGGTACTCGGACTCCTGAAGTTACGTTACTTTTTCCACATGCTTTACTTTTCCTCCCAGAGCAAGAGTTCCTGATGGAGCACAAGACCTTTTAAATAGCCAAATTTTCTATGAGGGATATGGAGGCTGATAAGACTGCTAAAGCAAAGACATAAGAAACTGCTTTGCTTAAGTGGAACTAGGTAAAGGAATCAACACGTAACTAGAGTGTGTTTGGTTTTTGTCCTAGTAATTTTACAAGGAAAACAGTGTTTTTTCAATATCAACCAGATACTTGGCAGAGGCTTGCCTGTACCTGTACCTAAGGAACTGTGTCTATAGTATCTTGCAAATCATAGAATTGTAGAATACCATGTTGAAAGGGACCTCAAGGGCTGTCTGATCCAACCTTTCTTGGCAAAGCATGACCTAGACTAGATGTCCCAGCACCCTAAATGTGCCCAGTGCTGGGGAGTTCAGCACTTCCATGGGGAGATTATTCCAATGGCTGTTTGTTCTCACTGTGAAAAATTTTCACCTTGTGTCAAATGAGAATCTCCTAGGACTAACTTGTGCCCATTACCCCTTGTCTTCTCCATGTGACTCCTTGTAAAAAGGGAGTCTCCATTCTCTTTGTAGCCACGCTTCAAATATGGTCTCATGCTCTGCCAGTGAGGAGGAGTACATGAAGCCGGGAGGAAGCAGAGACAGGACACCTGACCCAAACTAGCCAAAGGGGTATTGCATACCACAGCACGTCATGCCCAGCATATAAACTGGGGGGAGTAACCCAGAAGGCCAAGATTGCTGCTCAGGTCAGGCTGGGTGTTGGTCAGTGGGTGGTGAGCAATTGCATTGTGCATCACTTGTATTTATTGTTGGTTTGGTGGGGGGTGGTGTTCCTTCCCTTTTTAGTTTTATATTCTCTCCACTTGTTATTTCCCTTATTGTTATTACTAGTAGTAGTAGTTTTGTATTATACTTTAGTTATTGGACTGTTTGTATCTCAACCCATGGGTTTTGCATTCTTTTGATTCTCCTCTTTGTCCCGCTGAGGGTAGGAGGGGGGGCAAAAGGGAGAGTGAGTGAGCAGCTACATGGTTCTGCATTACCGGCTAGGCATAAACCGTGACAGTGTGTCTAGCTAATTAAAGTATTAGCTGATTTATGAGTAAGCAATGTTTCACTTAGTTAATATAGTCTCCTAAATCAGTTATGTCTCACGCTTGCGGACCAAAAGGGTAGAGCTGGACTTACAAACAGTGACTTCAAGCCAAAAGAGAAGGAGGAGGTAAATTAAGGAGCCATTTCAAGATATTCCCACTAAAGATTGCTGAAGAGATCTGGTTTTACTAGAGCTTGTTAGGGAGCATTTTCCAGGATCTGATGGGTATGAGTGCCAGTGACAGCTGGAAAAAAGGAGATGCCAGAGGCTGCCAAGTAGGCAGTTCTTAGACCCAGAGGAGTTCTTGAAAGAATGGAGGGAGGATGTAAAAGCCAATACAGAATGTAAGAGCAGCGGGATGTAATTACACTATTTAGCAGTGAGCAAAGGAACATAGCAGAACATGGCTAAGAGACCAAAATGCTTATATTTAAGAAAACCATATGCAGGTGGGAAAAATAGAAAGGTGAGGGAGGTGGACAGGAAAACAACAGAGGAAGTATTAGAAGAAAACAGCAAGAAGATGAATATCGAGCAAAGTAATGTAATGGATATTGAAAGTTTATTCATTCATTCATGCTCAAGCAACTGAGAAACTTGGTATCACAAATTGAAATGTTTTTCCAAAGGAAATGTTAAACAAATTTGCCATCTGACACCTCGTGGGGTTTTTGGGGCAGGACAAGACTGATGTTTTCTCTTTTTCAAAAAATATGAAGGGTAGAACCTTTTGACGCAGTGTGTCATGTTTCAGGAAAAGCGTGTTTTCTTGAGCCTTTTATTTTACACAGTGGTCCAAATGGAGCAGTGGGTCTCTTGAAGTGTGGGCAGTCACACTTGTAACCTGTGTTCAGACCCAGGTAAATAAAATGCTAGGTCTTTAAGTGCTCAGCTTGAGCTGTTCTAGTGAAGCTTCATGACGTCATGTGGAGTTGGATTTATGTTAGGCTTATTTTTCTGTGATACAATAGCCAGCCAGAATATGGTTTCATTTATGTCAGTGTAAAGCTAGAATGACAGTTATATATTGTGTTATTTTGTGTTTTATTTGGCATAACTAAGATCTAAATTGGGCTCTCTTTTTGATAACTAATAAGGATAGTGAAGAAAAAAAGGTTAACCAATGGAAGATATTTAAATAATAAAGACAGGATTAAACAAGAGGGCAGTAAAAGGGCTTTTTCTCTATCTCAGACAAATTCGGTTCCACTCTGCACAAAGCTACATTTAGAGCCATCACATACAAGCTTGTTAGTGTCTGGGATTTTACAGCTCCTTTTGAATCAAATCAGTTACTTGTAGGTTCCTCAGTAGCTTTTGAAGAAATTTTCAGACAGTAAACAAGCCTATTATAGCACAACTCAGGACTGTTCTTTGCCCTGCTCTGGTCCCTGTATGGCTACTGCCGCAGTAAGAAGGGATCCGAGAATAAATATTAACGGATCCAGGGCAGAAATCAGTTGCATGGGGAGTTTCTTATTTAGACAGAGCTGAAGGAATGTTTTCTATATCAGCATAAAACTGAAGTTTGATGGGGGGTAAATGTAAATGCACCTTCCTTAGTTTTCAGATGTTTTACAGCCATTCTTTCATTAGTCTCCGAATTTCCTATTCTATAGACTGATATTCAGCAGGCACTGAAGTAATGTAAAGTAATTGTGGAAATTTTCCATCTATTCTTTAGTGCCTTCAGCAGAAATGTGTGGAAGGTTGCTGTTGTTCCCCACTGAAGGAAGAATTTACGCTTTTTTTTTGCAGTCAGGACAGTGCTTCACACCCTGTGGATAAACTACCCTCGGTGATATCAACAAAATCATCTTATCAGTGAGGTTTCTAGAGGACACTCAATGGAGAGCAGGATGGAGTACTTTGCTTATGTTCTTATTCTTGTCAGCCTAAATCTGATTACTTGGATGGCATTATGCAGAGCTGCATAAATTGTTAGAGACAGGAATACAGTAGTTATATTTTGTGCTTCATTTTGTTTACAGAAAAGTCCCATCAGAATTACGGAAAACCAGCAAGCCTGATGAATTTAACCACTTCATTTTCACTTATTTTCTGCTTAAATAATTTGATCTGAATGTCGATCCCAAAGGCATATGCTTTACAGAACAACACTGACTCTTAAGAAACAGTTCATTGTTTCTGATTGTTTTAATTTTCAGAATAATGTTAAAAGTGATGTGTTCATAATCAGCTGCCAATGGGGACTGTAGATAGCTAGGATAGGTAGTTGTCAGTTACTTTTGGCTCTTCCTTAGTCTTTAGGAAATAATAAACTGCTTCAATCTGTGTGGTCAAATAAACACATTAATACTGAATGTATTCAACTGAACAATTTCTTCAACTGTTTGTGTCACCAACATGAAAACTGACTGCAGATGCAAGGAGCTAGATTGTCCTGGGTGCTGTTTACCCTTACAGGCTGTTTGGAAAAATATGCTTTGTTCTGAAAGAAAAGGCTATTCCCACTATTCAGAGCTCACGTTTTGTGGCAACAACTTGAATTTGGTGATTGTAAGAACTGTTTCAATGGCTTAATACAAGAACTTCCTGTAGCAGATCAGATTGCTTTCTGTCAGATGTCTTAGGTGATGTGACCCACGCATATTCAAAATAGTGAATTCAGGCTGTTAGAGTCAGTTTTTTCTCATTGCATTGATAACTATAAAGTCTAGAGCAGAGCAATAAGATGATTTTCAAAGTTACATTTTATTAGGAAGTTATAATTTCAAAACAAAACTTTGTACACAAACACATCAAATTTTAAAAATTAGTAAGTTGTGTGAATTCAGTTTCCTACTAATACAATGCAAGGCATCTGTGGTTGGGTAAAGTGTAAGTACATTCGCTGTGAGTGTACAATTGAAAAAAAAAAACCCAAACAAGACTTGTATGCCAGAAAGCATGGCTTCAAAGGGTTTCATTTCATATAGTTCAAAATGTCAGCAGCTTACACTGAATTATACTGGAACACTAAAAGTGAGTTTGTTATTGGTAAGGAAGACAAATATATTTGTTAAAGAATACAAAACCACAAAAAATTGCTAGCAGAGTGTTAAGAGTTTCCCAGAGAGATTTGTCATCATGAGTAATAGCACTTAACCTGTAGGCTATTGCTACAGGTAATAGCTATTGCTATAGGTATTAGTATTGCTATAGGTGTAGTATTACCTATAGCAATAACTATAGGTAATACTATTTT